AATTATTAAATAGCTTAAAAGGGTATTTATTTTATAAATAACCTTTATAAATACCTTTAAATAACGCTTCTTTATAATTAATAAATATTACTTATATATAATTATTAACTTTATATAAAACTATTTTTTATATTAAATATATATAGTTTTTTTATTTATATATACTTTTTATATATTATAACTTCTTAATATATTAATATTTTCTTTATTAAAAATAGCATTTTAAAAGCATTTATACTTAATAAAGTAATATAACTTCTTATTAATAATAATTAAAAAAATGTTTTTCTTTTATTATTATAAAATAAAAAAAAGTATATATAAAGTTAAATATATATTTAAAATAAAAAGTAATAAAACTATAATTAATATTTAAATATAAAGTATTTAAAAATTATTATATTTTAAAAACTATTAAATTTAATATAAATTATTAAAATTTAATATAATAAAGATCTTTATTAAATAATTCTTTATATTTAAAGTTTTTATTAATAATTAAAATTTATTTTTAAAATTTTTAAGTAATTATAAAAAGTATAACGTGGTTTACTAGTGAGTGGGTAGTATTAATAAGTGGGTACTTTTTATAATATCTGCTAACTTTTATTAACGCTAGCACTTGCTTAATATATTTAATTTATTAAAAATTAGCATTAATTAATGCCAACTATATTTAATTCCTTAGTTTTAATTAATTTTATTAATTTAAAGGGGTTAATATAAGTATAATGTAATTAAAAGTTATTAAGGTTTATATAAGTTAGCTTCTTTTTAATGTTAATTGCATCTTAGTTTTTTATATTAATTTTATTTTAATTTAACTATTTAAATATTTAATGCATTAAAAATTAATAACTATAATATATATTCTTTATTTAAAGAAGATAAAATTCTTTTAACTATTTAAGCTATTTATAACTTTAAAAAAACTAATTAAAAACCCTTAAAAGTAATAATAATTATGCGCATTTTTAATATTCTTTAAACAACCCTTTAATATAAAATAAATTAATAATACTTTTATAAGGAATTATGCATTAATATATATAAATTTAATTAAATTAAAAAGCAAATGCTTATTTAATATATTATTAAATAAAATGATAAAGAATTTTCCTTATAACTCTTTAATATAAAAAATATAACCAATTTTTTATTAGCATTATATAATACTAAACCTATTAATAAGCATTAAGCTTAATATTTTATAAATATATAATTAAGCCTTAAAACTAAATTTAATTATCTTTATAATTATTAAAGGGCTCTTTATAAAAATTTAAAGATTATTAAGAATTAATTTAAGCTTCTTTATAATATAATAGCTAAGTATTAAATTATTAATAATAACCTTTATAACTTTAATAAAACTAGCTTTATAATAAATATAATTACCCTATTAATAATTATTATATATATTAATAAATATAAAAAAGCTAAATTAATTTAACTTAATAATTAAGACTAAGCAATTATTATTAAATATATTAATATAAGTAGGTTATAAATTTTATTATTTATAATTATTTAAAGCGCTTATTACCTTGCTAGCTAAGCAATAAATTTAAGTTTTTTAAATAATTAAGTTATTAAGCCTATTTTTAATAAATAAATAAATAATAAAATTAATTTAAAATAAATTTAATATTTTAATAAATATATTAAGCTAAAGAGAAATATTAATTATTAAATATTAATTATAAATAGCTATAAAAGCTATATATTAGCTAAGTTTAATTAATATTATAAGGATAATAAAATTATTATTATTAATATATCGCCGCATTTATTTTACTTATTTTAATTATTAAATATTACGTTATATTTACCTTTAAAGCATATATATAATAATAAGATTAACCTTTTTATTTAAGCCTTTATTAACTATATTATTAAATTTAAGTTCTTTCTTATATTTAAAGCAGCTTATAATAAAACTTTTATAATAAAAAATATTAAGTTTATATTTAAAGGAATTAAAATTTCTCCTTAAAACTTTAAATTTATAATTTTTAAGCTTAATATTTATTTATAAACTTTAATATAATCCCTTTTTATTTCTTTTTAAAAATAAAAGTTTTAAATATCATTAAATACTTAATAAACTATTTAGTAATGTTATAGATTGGCCTTAAGCGTCTGCTGGAAGGTACCCAAAAGGAGTTATGAATTGCAATATCTAAGAAGTAAGTTAAGCCTTGAAAGGGCCCAACTCTAGATCTATCTTTTAAGTGTGTGCCCCCATCACGTGAGAGGGTTGGGTGCAGTGTAGGCCCGATATGGGCGTGCATTACGGCTTGAGCAATAGCCCAAGCCCATCACAAGTAATTAAGTTTTATTAAAAGCAGGATTTTTATTTATTAAGGGAGCTTCCTTATATTAATTATAAAGGCTATTAATTAATTAGCAAAGAGTATATAAGTAATAATGCACTTATTTATTATAATAAGTAAATAAATTTATATGCTTTAAAATATTAATATAATACTTGTTAAATGCTAAAGGGCTAAAAGAATTTAAATATAGTTTAAAAAAGCATTTATAATTAAGGAATCTTAAGCTTTTATTTAAGAAAAATAAAAGGGAAAGCAATTAATTAATAAAATAAGTAATAATGCTAAAGAAGCGGTTTATAGTAAACTAATTAAAAAATATTATGGTAATTATGGTAAGATTAAGTATAATGCAAGAACTTATAAAAAAGATAAAAAAGGGTTTAATTAATTAAATTTTAATTATATTATAATAAATCCAGCTTAATTAATATTAATTAATATAAATATATTTATTTTAGCGATTTATAATAAATTATATTTTTAATAATATAATTAGCATTATTTAATGCAAAGTATAATTTTCTTATTAAAAGTTAGCCTATTTAAATCAGCACTATATCTACGCCAACCCCTTTAAATTAATGAAATTAATTAAAAATAAGGAATTAAATATAGTTGGTATTAATTAATGCCAATTTTTAATAAATTGAATGCATTAGGCAAGTGTTAGCATTAATAAAAGTTGGCTGATATTACAAAAAGTGCCCACTTACTAATACTGCCTACTTATTGGTAAACCACGTTATTAATTAATTATTTATTAATATTATAATAAATATTTAAGCTTTATATTATAAATATTTGTTAAAAAGCTTTTTAAAGTATATAATAAAAAAGAAATTTAATTAATTATAACTTTATAAAAAAATTAATAATTAAAAGCTTAAATTAAAGTTAATTAAAAAATTATAAATAAAAAAGTTTAACTTAATTTAAATATAGCTTTTATTAATATTAAGGCTATTTATAAAGCTTAAATAAAGATAAGAAAAATATTAAAAGAAAGTAATACTTTTAAAGAATTAAAAACATTAATTAAAGAAGGATTATGCATTATAGTGATGAGCAATTAATATTAAAGAGAAGGCATATATGGGTGCCAAGGGCGGCCGGGATCGGGGCCGGGGACGTTAAAGGTTACCTCATGCGTTTTTTCCATTCCTTATGCCAAGGGGGAGGCACTTGGTTATTTCTTAAGCAATCACCCCAACAATGCTTCCCATCACTTTTTTCAGCTACGTCCAGTAGGCAGGATCCACGTGGTGCCCGCTTCCAGCACCTGCGGACATTAGGGGCCGTTGACGTCGCGGCGGACTAGGTCCGCCATCGGAATTCATGGTGTTTAACAGTCAGATGAACAGAAACACGTGTTTACTTGCTCGCTACAGCTTAAACCTACCAAGACCACCTATGATACAAGTACTGTGGTATGGGTAAATTAGCCTCCCATCCAACTAGTGTGGGCTTAACCCACACTAAGCAGTAACTCTCAATGGCCAAGTTTGTGCTTAACGAGCACGACGATCTAAAAAGTAGTGCTGCTAATATAATCTCGGAAAGCACGGCCAAAGATAACTAACAGGCGATTAAACTTTAGCCTAATATCGCAGTAATTAAGCCGTCCAAACACGGCGCTAAGCGTTTTCAACTCGCTGTCTTTTGTTAAATAAATATATATTGAAAAGGCACCCTGAAACGATACATGGTGTAGGCAACGCTAACCGCCACGCTGCTGCCTGGCAAGTAGTTTCATAATCAAGGTGGTATTAAGACTTCATTGCGCGAGAGGACTACGCCTCTAAAGTCCGAGTTAGCATATGCCCACCCAGCTTCCATAGTACGCCTACCTAGCTTTTAATATTAGCTTATTTAATACTTTCTTTTCTTAGTATTATATTAATAAGATTAAGTACTTTTTTAAGTTTACCTTATATATAAGAAGCTAGGGTAGCTATTTTTTAATTTAAGCAACATTTTAAAAATATAAGCCCTTAGAGCGCCTAGAGGCCCCTAGAGCGCCCAGAGGGCCCCTAGAGCGCTTAGAGGGCCCTAGAGCGCTTAGAGGGCGCAGAGGGCGCAGAGGGCGCAGAGGGCGCAGAGGGCGCAGAGGGCGCAGAGGGCGCAGAGGGCGCAGAGGGCGCAGAGGGTGCAGAGGGTGCAAAGGGCGGCAGAGAGCGTAGAGGGCGGTAGAGGGCGCTGAGGGCGGCAGAGGGCAGAAGTAACTTTTAAGTTATAAATAGAGAGGTAGCTATAGGACCCCTTTGGGATAGCTATAGCTATGCTTTATTAATAACCCCGTAGTATTAATATTTTATACCGCGTGTAATTAATTTCCTTATACTGGGTGGGCTAACGCTGGAAGCTGGGTGGGCGTATTGTGGAAGCTGGGTGGGCGTACGCTGATTCGTAAGTTTGGAGTATGCTGTCGGCTGCGAAGCTTGTGGCAGGCAGATCATAATCCGCTGGCACTTGTGCGGGGGCATGGTGTCGCCAGTAGCTCTATCGAGGTCTATTTTTGCCGTGATTAGTAGGACCTCAACATTCGTTCAACCGACAACTCAAGCGCGCGGTTTGAGAACTACACCGTCGAATAAACTACCGAAATCTCAGTGCCGTCTGCAGGCTCCTTTGTGACGCTGACAAACCTCCATCCGGGGCAAGATGGCTTCGTGCGCCATGGCACCAACCGCGGCCCAGAAGACCACGGCTGCCGAGCCTGACCCCGGGATGAACCAGACTCCTGAACCATGTACGGTCTTTACAAGGCTAGAGAAATGCTGCATCGTCGCCATGATATCTTACGCATCCTGGTCTGCCAACCTCAGCACCTTTATCTTCCTCCCAGCACTGAAGCCCTTGTCCGAAGCTTTCGAAGTGTCGGTGGACAAGATCAACCTCATAATCACCGTCTACATGGCCGTTGGAGCGGTGGTCCCGCTGTTTGTTGGACACGCTGCGGATATCCTAGGGAGACGGGCGGCGTATGTCGTGACGCTGTTCTTGTTTGCCACCGCGAACCTCTGCCTCGCCCTGGCGGGATCGTTTGAGATGTTTCTGGGATTGAGAATGCTGCAGGCCGTTGGACAATCGGGTGCGAACCAAGTTAAAATGTTGGACTTGGGATTGCCAGACTGACATAAGAACAGGGGTGATCCTCATCGGATACGGTATTGTCAGTGATATCGCCTCACCAGCAAACAGAGGCACTTACATGAGTGCTGTGTCTTTCCTGTAAGCTAAACTACTTTTTACATTTCCCGGAGTTAAACCTGTATCTAATCACGTGGAAGCATCACTATCGGACCAAGCCTCGGGCCTGTGCTTGGGGGTGCCCTGACTTATGCTGCTGGGTGGCAATGGATATTCTGGTTTCTCACAATCTTGACCAGTTCCGGCCTATTGCTCATGGTCTTGTTTCTTCCGGAGACGAACAGAACTATCGTGGGAAACGGCTCAATCCCGCCTCCAACCATTCTACGACTCCCAATCCCGTCCACAGCTTTCATGCAGCATCATCACGTTGGCAGAAAGCCCGAGACCATGGGTTTCCGCATGCCTAATCCCTTTCGGTCTCTCCAAACCTTGTTGAGGAAAGATAACGCGGTCGTGGTGCTAGCTTGGGGCCTGATGTACGCTGTGTACTCAGCGTAAGTTCAATCGATACTCACGTAAATGGGCAGCTAACATCATTGAGCACGGCTAACACACCATTGTGCCAGCCTCACGGCAAGTCTCTCAACGCTCTTCATCGAGATCTACGGTCTGAGCGAGTGGCAAGCCGGCCTGATCTATCTTCCGTTCGCTCTGGGTGGGACCGCCTCAACGCTCTTCTCAGGCCATCTGCTCGACACGGCATACAGTAAAGCCCGCACGAAGCGCGGGCTGCCGATCGATCGTATCAGAGGGGACGACCTGGACAGCTTCCCAATGGAGAGAGCACGGTTGAATGTTATGTGGATACCGATGATTCTTATTGCGATTTGCACAGTAGCTTACGGATGGGTGTTGCAGCATAAACAGGTATGTGATTGCATATTCTTCTCTAAAGCTACCCTGGGGTGCTCATGTAATGAACCGACGGCCTCGTGGCTGCAGCACATCGCGATATCAATGGTCCTTCAGTTCGTGACAGGCATGGCTTTGCAGGTCAACTTTAGCGTAAGAAGTATTCGTCTTAGGGCTTCGCATCTTGCGGCTTAGTTCTGACGAGTTGCTGCAGAGCTTCAACACGCTACTTGTCGATATCAACCATCGTGCGCCTTCAGCCGCCAACGCATCTACAAGTCTAGTGCGGTACGCATTTGCGGCAATAGTGGTCGCCTTTCTGGAGGACATGTTTCAGTCGATAGGCATTGGCTGGGCTTTCACGCTGATAGCAGGCTTCATTGTCGTTGCTGTGGCTCTTCTTGCATTAGAATACTGCCGAGGCCTGGCTTGGAGGCAGGCTGCGGCTCTTAAAGATTGTAGTTTATAGACTTGACAACCTCTCGATTAGCCTCGAGAAAGCGCTTTACACCTCACCACAGCAACCTCTCCATTGCGTGGGTATAGCAGGGACGTCTCGACACCCCATAGACTGCACAAGTCCAACGCCTGCTCATTGGCCCAGTCACCCGGAAATGCAAATATTTCTTTCACTCCGCTACTCAGCTTCTCTGTTGAAGCACCTCCCCTGGCAAGGTCTCTTGATCTCACGTTTCTTGGATTCTTTGGTTGCGCGGTATTGGGTGTGGTCATAGATTCAGAAGTCCACTGGAGCTGCTTTGAACAGATGGCAGAGTCCCGAGATACGTAAATCAGGCGGTCTCCCCATACCAGCCTGAGTGCAAGTGAAACGTCTTGGTATAGCAGGGACAGCATGCGGTGCAGGCAAATTGTCGGTGAAGACGTGCCCGTCGCGTCTTCGGATCGTTCGTGTGATGATAAATCAGGCGTCTTCAGGAAGAACAATTGACTGGTCCTGGAAGAGTCGCCGGCAGTGGATACTTGCAGCAGAAAATGGTTGTTGTCATGAGAAGAGTGGACTCGGTCCACGCGGAAGAGAGTGCTCGTCGGCGCCTTTTCATCGCAGGGTCCTCGTGGCCATTGGATGGCAGATTTCCGTTGTTCCACCAGGTTCCAGTCCATGATTGTGATGTTGTGAGCCCCGAAGCCCACAAGCAACTCAGAGTTGGTTGGGTGACACACCCAGCAGGAAATGGCAGAGCTCAGGTCTCTGGAATTCTCCACCGAGTAGGAGGTGAGGGATATCGTGTGTATCTGTGGCGATGCCAGAACAACTATATGACTCGACGAGGGATGGAACAGTATCTGAGTGATGGGACTCTTGGTCAATTTCCGCATCGGTATTGATGCTGATTGCTCGTAGCTCGGATTCGCGTCGGCCAAGTCGTTTGCTGCGGTGAATACGACGATTTGTTTGCTGAAGTCGGATGTACACATGCGTTTTCCATCATGGCTCCAGGTAATGTGTTCTATCGCAAACTTTGCCCTAGACGAGTAGAGTGTGGCGATCCTGCCTTCCTTGGTATCATGCAGACTGACGACTCCTTTCTGAGTGCCGTAGCAGTAAAGGCGGCCACTTGGAGATCCGGCTAATGCAGTTATGGGGTCGACTGCTGCAGAACTACTTGTCGACCTCTCGGACACATGTGACATGGAGTACTCGCTCACCGAGTCCAGGTCCCCAGAGCTCTCCGCATATCTAACCAGTGCGTTCGGCTCCCACGCATTCGCGTGAAAGCCTCTGATATCGTAGAAGCGTTTCGAATCAGGACTGAATGCCAGACCGAATACTGCCTCTTGAGCGGATATATTGTACAGCAATGAGAAGTTGGCAGTGGTGTACAGCTTTATTCGTCCATGGGAGTCTCCCGTGACAAACAGCTCGCCATCGTTACTGATGGCCAGCTTGGACGCTTCAGCAGAGAGCTCATCGACGCTGTCTTCGTAGGGTGCCCATTTGAACACAACGCCTTCCACGGTCAGGCCCAAGACCTCCGGCTGATATGGGTGCCAAATAAGATCTCGCAGCTCACGGACCATGGACACGTCGTCTTTGCGCCGGCAATAACCAATGTGATTCGAGCCCTCTAATTCCCATGCCGAGGCGGGGTGGCGACGATAGCCGACAGTAATCATGGTGCCGTCTGGACTTAAAGCCATGTGACTGGCCGAGTTGGTAAAGTGTTTCTCGAGTCCAAACTCCTCCAGGTCGGCGATTATCTCCCATTCTGGCTTTTCCTCAACGATACTGAGTGAGCGAACCCGCCGATCATCGGAGCCGACAAGTAGCGTCGAATCGTTGTTGATAAATAACATCGTCAAAGGCCTAGTCTTTGACTCGACGCTGTCGACGGACAGAACACAATCGCCCGAGGAGACTTTCCAGACTTTGGTAGTCCGATAGCCGTAGGACACCAGTAGAGATGCCGTATTGTTCAACTGGACTCTGTCCACACGCTCTCCATGCTGGATAGGGCTGCCTTTCGATTCTCGGAAGTCGGCCGCTTCGTAGATGTGAACATTCCCTGGAGCGGCGAGCACGGCCACGTGCGGCCCAGCAGCCTGGATGGAAGATGCGAACGATTTGCCCACAGAAATCCTCGCAAACAGGTCATCCCATTTCTCGGTTGAGATACCATTCACAGATAAGGCTTCCGACTTGCCAAAGAGTTGGTGGACAGAGGAGCCCTTGGGGCAGAAAGGAGGGATCGCGTTGTAGATGGAGTCTGGTTTTCGGCGCAGAAGACTGCCATATCTGCCCATGATCCTGAGAAGGTCCACAGACCAACTCGAGATTAGCTCTTGCTCGGAAATGTCAAGTTTCGAATGTTGTCTCATATTACGGGCAACCTTGGAGAGATCTTTGGAGGTCTGAGCGAGGACACGCAGATTTCCTGTGGTGGACAGGGCATGGATCCAAGTAAGCATCGAGTTGCCCGTCAACAATCTTTTCAGGGTAGAAAGACTGTCATCATCGAGGGGCGTAACGTGCAGCAGGTGATTCGACCACGAGACCGCGGCGTAATCCAGAAACTCGGGAGCTTGATGACGACCAAGCTTTGCCCTAAGCCCCGTCGACATGAGACGGCGCATCGAGCTCAGAAACAAGTCTTTGTGGGCGGTGGCTCGATCGATGCTGAGTTGCCGCTGGTCTGAGCTTTCCAGTAGGTACTCACGAGCAGAATGGTGAATTATCGACACATTGCCATCGTTGTCCACAGCCGCAAATCCTCCGCACAAGTCGCCAATGGTACGCGGAAGGTCCAATATCCCCGATGCGGCCTCGCCAAGTGCATGTGCCATTTCAGAGACGGATAGGACACGGAGGGAGCACGTCAAACATTGAAGGATCTTCGTAGCCAGCTGCTTGTCGCGCGGGTTGGGATTTTCTGTGATAGACGACGCCATGCGGTCGTATAGAGCATCCATGCCTTCAGGGAGTTGTTGAAGTGCTGCGTCAATATCTTCAAGTGTGTGGCATTGGTTCACACTTTCGACAGCCAGTCGAGCCCACTATTTGAAACAGTCAGCTATCATACGGAATGGATTTGGTTAAGCAAATCCTCACCAGGAAATTGTTTTGAGACTTTTCGACAATCTGCCTCTCTATTCTCTCCTTGATTTCATTGCCACCTGGTACCCTGAGCTCCTGGCGAACGTGTATACGAATGTCTTCGAGATGGCCATCGATATCAAGAGTCGCGAAGCGAATAGCTGCAGGACGTCTATCGAGAGCGCTGGTGATGTCCGGAGTTCGCCGACTTGAGAATAGCATGCGAATAGGCGAGCACGCAGTGATATCCAGGAGCATTTTGATGGCGATCCTAGGAGACTCAATTTCGTCCAGACCGTCAATGATCCAGTACAGTGGCTGTTCCAAAACAATTTTGAAGATGACGGACTTGAAAACGCGGTCCCAGATAATCTTCGAATCCGCCGTCTCAAAGTCGATACCCTCGTCTTTGAGTTCGTTCAGTTGGTGAGCGAGGCCTGGTGCAGACTGCGCGATTTGGAATGCAAGCGAACGGAGTAAGAAACTTAATGATCTTTTCTTGCGATCTCCATGCCGAATGAAGAAATATTGACAGCTGCGTCCGTCTTGAGCCAGATTATTAATGATGGTTGAAGCAAGGATGGACTTCCCGGTCGCCGCCCCGCCATTCAGCCATAGCAAGCTCAGATCATCTTGTGAATCTCGCCACTGGAGTAAGGTCTTGTCGCTGTTGATCCAGTTGTTGGTGTCCTCCGTCCATTGGTCTCGGAAGAAGATGTAGTCCAGTCCGGGAAGCTCTGATAGTGCGAACAAGGACTTCAGGTCGAGAGCTGCTCTTCGTTCAGAAAGCTCTGGCTGCTTGGCGTTATCTTTGACGAGGATCTTGCCGACGAGGGACTTCAGCACGTTCCTGATGGTTATGTAATTCGGGTCTTGTGGCCCTTCATACTTGCAGATACCGTGGTGATCCGCGCTCAACGCTTTAGATACTTCTCCAGGATAGCCCAAGACAGATGATTCCTTCTCCAGTACCATCTGGTTTGATTGGATTAGTGAAAGGTACGGCGGGTGGGGGTGCAATCATAGACTAGACGTACAACTCGAGCACTTTTGATCCGGGTAGGCATCGTCTCATAGAACGACACGATGTCTAGTCGTGGAGCGATATGTCGAAATTGCTCATTCAATTTCTGTAGCGTGAGCGAGTTTCTCGCTAGCTCGGCCACATATTGCTTGGAGTTGAGCATGACCGAATCTAGGATCCGGTTCAAAGTTTGTGCAAGTGCTGTTCCTCGATGCGGTGTTGCGAGAAATGCGATGGCCGTGATGGCTTTGATGATTGATTCGTACTCCGGATCGTTTTGCCCTTGTATATAAGCCTGCCAATGGTTAGCTCAGCCCATTCCGATTGACTCTGTCAAACCTTGCCTCTTTGACAACTAGGCCTCCCATGCTGTGGACGACAAAGATTATGGGCACTTTTCCCATATCCAGCTCGTCCATGTCTGGATCTTTGCCATATTTCAGGTCGAACAATAGGTCTTTCGCAAAGTCGAGCAGCGACAATGACACATTGCCGGCCTTCTGGAAGGAAGCATTGTATCCAAAGGTCAAGATCCTGGCGAGGCAGAGATCTTGCTCCAAGGGCAGGAAAGTGAGCGGCCAGAATAGCTCCGTGTTCCTATGCTTTGACCACGTCCACTTGCTCGTTCCACCGAGCCCATGAATGAATATGATGTCGACCTTGCGGCCATTGTCTGGAGTGTAAACGACGTTGAGCCCAAGAGGTCCAGACTCGACAAGCTGCTCACCTGGAGATGGCTCGCGCCGTCTATCCGGTGCGGTGAAAGTCGGTGTGATCGTAAGGGAGTTACTGGATTCTGCTCGCGAGATCACGGATGCATTGTCGTCGTCAGCAGGCAAACTACGCCCATCGTCGTTCGATGGCTTCTTGCGTCGGCCGGCGATCTTTTTGAACTGTTTCTTTTGTCAGTTGTCCAGGCTCAAATGGGTATTGCGCGGAATAATTGACGAACCATTCTGAGTTTCGTGCCAGCGCGCAGCGGCTAGTCCTGCTTGCATCAGTAGCCTGGAAGACTTGGAGGCGGGCCAGGATCTTGATGTAGGGCGCGAGCTCCAAGACTCCCAGAGGATGCGGGGAGGCTTGTTTTCCGTCAGCAGTCGACAAGACGTCGACACGTATTTATCCTGCAGGCTCTCGCTGTCCGCGCGTTTCAACCTGATCCTTTTTGTCAGCGTAACCAACCGTCGTTTTCAGCCGCACGCCACCCTATTCGACCTACAGCAGCTCAATTATAGTATGCTCTAAGGATCACAGGCTGTGGCCTTGGGTTTCCGGCCGCAGGCCAAGTCTTGCTGACGCCCGAGCTAATTCCTCCCGGCAGCCATCATGTGCCGCCATTCACTGGGTATCATCGTCTCAAACCGTTGATCTGCGGCTCTTCCCAAGCCACAATCACAATTCCCCATTACATTCATAATACGGCATGGTGTAGCCTGATCCCTTCTTCTCTTGCTTATTTCTGTAGCCGAATGCACTGTTTGATCAGTGTCTTCTAGCGCTTACACACATCGACAGCTCTCTCATTGCAGCCACGGAGACGCGAACCTGGGTTGGCGAGATCTGAACACCTATACCCTACTACATCAACTGCTCTGGGCCACCGGGCTGCTTCTTGCTCCCCCGACATTCTTTCCAACGTCTCGCCAAGATGTCATGGGCTACGGATGTCGACGGGGACTTTGCTCTCCACAATGCTGTTATCGAAGGCAAGGCAACCTCGCAACTGAATAAAGGCGCAGCAGACTAATCTCGGGGCGTTCATGTAGTAATGCCACAGGGTACCACAGTCATCTCCGCCGAAACCTGGGGCCTTTCAGCTTGGACCAAAACGGCAAAGATTTCCACCGAGCTTGCTGATGGAAGCGCGCAGCGATACTTCCTCAAGGTACACTCACCTCAAAACTCCACGAGGCTCTGCCAGGTCTGACCTTCTCACAGTGTGCCAGCGGAAAATTGGCCAGGGTTCATATGTGGGGAGAGCACTACTCTGCCACAGTAATTGAGTCCAAGGTGCCAGGCTTTGGCCCAGAGCCGGTCGGCAAGGGGGAGTTCATCGACGAGTCCGGCAACCAGGTCTATTTTTACCTCCAAAAGTACCACGACATGGATGTGCAGACACCCCCCGACCCAGCCGGGCTAGCCACCGCAATCGCGGAGCTCCATACAAAAGCAACGTCCCCGAACGGCAAGTTTGGCTATCCGCTCGTAACGGGGCGCGGCAGCGTGGACCGCGCGGAGCACTGGAGCGACAGCTGGGCGGATCAGTTTACATACCTCCTCCAGGACCTTATCAAGCTGGACAACCAGGTCAACGGGCCGTGGCCTGAGTACGACGCCGCATGCAAGCAGTTGTTCGACGGCGTGATTCCGCGGCTCTTGGGAGCTCTGCAGTCCGAGGGCCGAGAGATCGTGCCGAGCATGTGCCACGGCGACTTGTGGGAAGGCAACGTTGCTACCGATATGGAGACGGGCAAGGTCATTATCTTCGACCCGGATGAGTGCATGTACGCACACAACGAGATCGAGTTTGGAACATGGCGGTGCAGCTGGGCCACCCACTTCAAGTCGCCTGCCTACATCCAGCATTACCAGATGGAAGTCGAGCCGTCTGAGCCGGTCGAGGAGTGGGATGACCGCAACCGGTTGTATTCAATCAAGACGGCTATCTGTGATTCTGCTGGTCACCGTGGCAGCAGATCGAGGATCATGTGAGTTCTTCTACAAACAAACCAATTTCCTGACCTATCACTGATGGTTCATTTTTGTGAAAGAGCGTATAACGATATGCTTTTCTTGTGCGAGAAGTACGCACCTCTCGAAAGTCTGGAACGATATGATCCAGAAAAGGACATCAGCGTGACCGGGGTGGTGGAGGCGTACGATATCAATGCAGGAGTATGAGAGAGCTTGCAATACGAGGGAATCCATCCTCATTAATACGATGAATACAATCTCGGCTCTCTAGCTTCAGAACTATATGTACACATAACACAAAGGGCTTTCTCCGAGAGTGTTGAGCACGTCGTCAATAGTAACGCTCGGGGCGTTCACACCCAGCTCGATGATGTCATCCTTAGAGGTATCCCGGCTTGGAGGCTGGTTGAGAATGGTGATGGTGCCCGCGATAGTCTCTGCCTGGTCGAGGTGCAGGGCCTGCCAGATCCAATACACCTGGTCAACCATAGAGTGATGAAACCAGAAGCCGGGATCGTTGATCGATGAGAATAGGTCAGACGCCTCGCCGCCGACCGCCATATGCCCGCTTGCATGCATCCCTAGGAACTGATCTCCGAAGCGGCCCTGTAGTTCGTTCTGGAAGAGCTCAATGCTGGCAGAAGCATCTCCGACGGTGATGTTGAGCAGGTTCTCTGGCGTGAACCATGTTGAGGCAGTGTAGTCGCCAAGGTCTCTGCTGAGGCAGCGGGGGTTGTAGCCAAGCGGGCCATCAGGGCTCGGGTTTGGTTGCAACCCAGCCATTCCTGGGGACACGGGGCCAAGATGAACAGTCATGCTGATAACAATGGCAATTAGTCTCATGGGTGTAATGGATGAATATGTTGGACGTACTTGGTAAAAGGACCACTCGTGACGCAACCACCACCGTTGCCAGATGGGAGGAAGATGTTGTTGGCTCCGGAGAGGCTGCCGTTGTGGGCGAGATAGGCCCCATCGCCACTCATGCTTGTCTCACTTCCATCAAACAAGGGCGATTTCGTAAGGTCATCGGTGTAGTCGAACCAGTTCCAGTATGGCTGATAGCCCTGGTAGCCGCATTCTTCACGGAGTGCCGTCTCGTATGCGTAAGTTACATACCGGTGCCAGGTCAAGAAGTTGCCCTGATGGGGTAAATCAAGGTCAGTTGTGAATTGTTCTGCAAAGCGGCAGTCCAGTCAAGCAAAGATAAGCGAGGACTCACAGTTCCATGGATCGAGAGGGTCTGATTGATATGCACGGCAACGAAGTCGTCATACCCTGGAACAGAATGTCAGCGCCAGCTCAACAAACAAAAGTAGCACATCTCCAAAAAACCTCCACCAGATCGATTCAAGGTGACTCATTTCAGGTAGGAACGAAAAGGCATAAGACTGCTGGCTGACAACTCACTGCTCCTTGCTCCAGGGGCGAACGTTGGATCCGACTTTGATGGCAACGTCAGCAGGCACTGCACGGCGCCAATGTATTCCTTCTTCTCGTCGGAACTCAGCGCGGCCCTGGTTCAGTCATTTTGTCAGCGATAACATCGATCTCAAAGATCTTCCTATGTGCAAGGACAATACGGACGGACATACCAGTCTTTGCGCACCGCTGCATTGGAAAGACTGCATCCATCTGAGCTGGTCGAGTTGCGCTCAGCAGCCTTCAGAGCTGCTAGTGCCCGTTCCTGCAAATTTGCCAAAACAGTGTTGTTTCGGTAGTTATTTATGGCTGGTGCACCCAGTACGCTCCCAACCACGCTGAACAGACTGATGAGACTGGTACGCATTGTCACAATGAATGAGTGAACTGGCAGGAAGACGAAATAGCACGGACAACCACAAGCAATTCAGAAAGCGAATTTTTCCAGCACAGTCGCACAAACGCCCACTCCCACTCGATATATGTAGATAGCCAGCTCCCCAGGCCCTGAGGTTTCTCAACATCTGCAAACTAACGAATTAGTGGCGCCCAAGGCCAAGAGCGCGCGCGGAAAGGGTGCTATCTCCAGCGGCCGCTATCCCAGGATGGTCCGTAGTGCTTATTGTGGGTGAACCGTAGCGCCGGGCCCAATGGTCTAGGCTCCAAGATACGTGTGTGCAGGCTCCGGAAAATTATTCATTTGCACAGCGCTGGTTGGCGCCCCTGACAGGGCCCAGCAAGCACAGTCCGTTAGCCTAAAAGAAATAATGCGGGTAAGATTGATCCTATCTGCCCAGTCGAGTCGATGACCGAGGTTCGGGCCTCTCGAAATGTCGGTCGAGTTGTGTGGTGGAACCTAGTGGAGACGGACACTGGGCGACGAAAACAGGAATTTTGAGGAAGTCGAAGGAGGATGCTTCAAGTTGACCACACCGGGAGGGACACATGCCCTCTCAACATTCGTAGCAGACGTGTAATCTTTCCCAAAAGCCATACTAAGGCATGTCAGACATGTTCCGAAATTTTGCTGCAGAGCTAAACTTGAAATCATCTCACACCTCGCCACCTCAGAAGCGATTGGACACTGTGCTTAGCCTAAGGAAGGAGAAAGCATTCTCTCTGCGAGCTGTGGGCCCGTGACCACGTTGGATGCAAACCCCGGCCTGGCTCGCTTGACCAGCTTCCAGTCCATGGCTTCGAGAACGGATGTTCGGCATGATCCCCCATTTCCTTGCCAGATTTACTTTGCAACGTATTGCTCTCATCACTCGCTCTTCAAGGGTCTAATTGCAGGTTCAAATTAGGTTTGGATCTAAATTGTCAACATGGTGCTCTTGGCAACATGTCCTCAATCCGAAACATCTGCAACAATCATTAAGCATTGGCTGGCCTCTCAAGTTCACAGTCTCCAACATGAAGACGTGGAGGCAACTGTTGCGCTCTGTGTTGGTTTGAGACGTTTATTTCAGAGACAGAAATTTTTGGATTTGCATGACTTGATCTCGTTTCATAGTGACTATTGCATGCCCCGATGGTTCAACTTGTGAACATGCCGTGTTCATCACAGATCCTTCACAGTAAACCTTACGCAACCAGAAGGGGTATACGTGCAGGAACTACAGACAACGCCACCTATGCCTACGAGATAACCTGATCATATCTATCAACACCTAAAACTTTACCATTATTCACGAGTAGGCATTTAAGATGACGTCATCTAAGAGAATTCCAGGTTCCAATTCTCCAGTAGGAAGCGGCGGCATACCTTGGTATAGTACAAGACGTACTAACCTTTGGCCTCAATAAACAATAGAATCACAAGACGCTACCTCATTCTCATCTATAGCACTTCTCAGTCGCCACGTAAACCTAGCATGTCGGATAAGCACCAGCAAAAGAGACTATTGAAGGTCACCTCATATATTTTGAGTAGTTAGGAATGGTGGTGACGTGGGATGGATAGCGTGTCAGGTGATTGTATCTATGTTGAGTGAGACATAATGACGTTCAAGTTATACAATGGTAGAAGTAAACCAAGAAATCTGGCTATTGCTGCAGGCGAGCCTTCAGACAAGACTGTGTTGCATTGGAGGACACAATGCAAGATGTGAACTCGGATAGATCATGGATATTGGTTCTCTCTAAGATTGCAGTGATGAAACAGTCCCGCCTCTCTTCAGTTCTTTCAATGCTGCCCATCTAATGGGATCAGTTGAGGGGTTCTGAACAATGGAAGTGGTCTTGTGGCTCTATTCTAGGCATTTAGGTCTAGGAAGGAGTCGAAGCTTGTCAACTCCTTGAGCAGGTTCTGTATGGGGAGGAAGAGGTCCTCTGATCTGGTTTTCTTAATCTCGTCAAAGGTCTTCCAAACCCATTCCTCGCATTTGTCAGGCTCCATCAGCTGTATCAGGATCGTTCTCAGTCAGCTCAAGAAAGTGTCAGTCGGTGTGTGCTGCATTGTCAAACTCACCGCAGGCTGTGCATTCTGATCAAACATCTCGCAGAGGACGAATATGGTGATGTAGTGCTTTCCGAGATCCGAGAATACGTCATTGGTGACATGAGCAACCTTGCGGCCCTTGACCTTCAGTCCGGTCTCCTCCAATGTCTCTCGCTCGGCACATTGGAAGAAGTCTTCGCCATACTCAAGATGTCCACCTGGGAAGGCCCATTGCCCTACAAAAGGTTAGAAAGTTAGTGAAAGGTTGTGCCATGCTTGGGAGATAAGACATGCCAGGGGTGGCGAGCTTCCCAAGTCATTTGCTTGCGGCGACTTCGGCATCTGCGGCATCTGCGGATAAGGTACATGAAGCAAGGAGGTGGGGGAGATGAACAAACCTGCACCGTGGCTCGACTTTCGAAGGCCGAACACGAACTTTCCGTCTGGACCTCGGATGACAGCAGCAACTCCGACCCGTGGGTGACTGCTTGATGATGTGACCATTGCTGATTGCCTAAGAGGGAGTGTGCAGTGGATGATGACTGGACGGGCTTGAGCATAGAATGAACTTTGCCGAGTCGGAGCACAGAAGGGAATGGGCCAGATATTGGATGGAGGTGCCAGGGTTAGGGGATTGCCCATCTTGCTCGACCAGGAGCAGTGGCGATTTTAACAGCAGTCATCTCGGGGAACGCTACGAAGCAATAGAAACTTCTAGGTCGTAGGCAGAGGCACTCGAGGCTTTGGCCATGCTTAGGGTTTGTGTGAATTACTACAATTTACGACGCTTCTAAGCATAGCCACTGGCATTGGGCGATGAGAAGAGATGAGACCAGGAAAAGGGCAACAAGATTCAGGTTTATACTCTGTTCTCTTGGCATCTGACCGCAAGTCTGGGTGTCCCGTGATTCAGCCCGTTGCATTTGGGGAACCGGTATTGGGAGGGATGACACGTCCCGAGGTTCTTGTATCCACACTAATATAAGCCTTGCCTGCAAAATCCCTCCGTCATAGTGCCATACTATATCCTTAGTGGCTGGTATTCTCTCCCTCTCCATCGGGTCGCCGTGTCTCTTTCTGCCCGCTGCACTCTCCTTATGTCGGGCGGTTCGGCAGCTTAGGTAGCGTGGCGCGTCGTGGTTTCCGCCAGGACCTTTAGAAGCTTGTGGCGTTTCAAAGAAGGAACTTTCTCATCTCACCCCAAGGATTACTCACATGCACTAAGTGGCCCGCCTCCCGCAATAACATCCATCCACCCAACCAAATACCTACACTTGTAGGCAGCCAAACTTCACTTCCTCCCACCACCCTACACAATCCATCAATAATTAGGGCAGGAGCAACCAGTCCTACTCTCAGCTGTTTTCCTTCCATCAAACCCAGCCGCTGCAGCAACCAGTCAACCCTGCATCTGATACACTTCCCGGGCTGGGTCGTCGGTGAGAAATTTGTCACATGGGGATCCACAACTATTTCAACCTCATCTGACCCACAACAACCACACATCAAGCCTCTCTTTAGCCATCATCCCCTCCTGCTGTTTGCGACGCCATCATCAATGCTTTGATTTGCGGTCGCGTGGCATCTCCTCGCAGCCTGAGTATTGCAAGCCTTTCATCGCCCTAGCAAGGAACAGACACTTGGAAGCACAGGCCAGTCAGGCAATCAACACAACATTTCGGGTATCAACATCTCCTTTATCTCATCTCGAGAGCCGACTCGACTCTCCAACTAACAAAGACTTTTGCGGAAAACGGATCTGCGTGTCATTGCAAAAGCCTCCCGGCCATCGTCAGTGATCATGGCGACTCCTGATCCAGCACACGACGGTCTATCGGCCGAAGAGCTTCGGGACGAGCGATACATTGCAGCGGTGTGTAGGACTGCACGCCTCCGAAACGCAGAGATCTCCAAGAAGCGCGAGCGATTGCGTCGAGAGGTTCTTGGGATCCAACAGCGATTCCACGGTCTCGAGGCTCGATATTGGCACGACTACCAGGCACGCCTCGCAAAGATTGCTGAAGACAACCCAAAGTGGTCCACACGCAAATGGATCAGCGCGTTCGGCGAAAACGAAAAGCAACTCGCAGAGGCCTTAGTGAAACGCCAGGACAAGCTTCGAGAGGAGAACCGGCTCAAGCAGGAGGAGTTGGCGACCGCCGACAGCGAGTTTTGGAGCGCGTGGAGCAAGCACGTGGACTTCATGAGGGGGCTGACACCACGGACACCGCTGCCTCCATCCTCAGGCTCGACACCTGCTGCGAAGGTGCCTGGTGTTGCCCCTCGGCCTGCAGACAACCAAGCAAGCAGTGCTTTACCTGCAACCCACAGCAGTGGCAATCATGGTCCGCACGGATCGGCTATGCAATCAGCGAACGGTCAGAAGCAGAATGTATCCGGCAAATCCAGTGCAGCAAGCCAGTCTCTGCCCAAGATGTCGACCACCGCAAGGAAAGCCACGAATTCTCAAGGCCACAGCATCAGCCAGGCCACACGAGGACTCAGACGTTGCGATGCAGCCGGCTCGAAGCGCCAGCCCCCTCTCTGCACCAACCCCCCTTTCTCATGTGTCATCACCTGACCCGAGCATTCCCGCCACTGCCAGCGAGCAGCGACGCCGACTTCGCAGCTCTACGGCAGGCCCATCCGCGCTGGTGCAAAGCAATGGCCGCAAGACTCACCTCAAGGCTCTTACGGTCCCCGTCTCTCACTCCCAAGTCTGCATTCACTGATGTCAAGAGCCAAGGCGAGTCTTCACAGGAGCCTGCAGATAGTGCGCGGCCAGCCAAAGCACACAAGGCCCTAGCCGCAGGCTCTGAATCCAAAATGACACCTGCTGCCGTCAATCCCGTCAAACCAACACCGCCGACCCTCCCAAAGCTCATCACCCCACAGAACCAGGACGCCGGCTTCCACGGCGTCATCAACCCGGTGGTGGGCGAGATATACCAAGGCTTCTACAAAGACCAGAACTACCAAGGCTGGTGGATGTGCACGCCTCTGCCCTGGGAGGCCTGGGAGCGCGAGATCGGCATCAACTACAGCTTCCACCAGGCGGACCTTTTCAAGGACCTGCCCGAGTGCTACACGACGGACCGCGTGCGCGCCAAGCCCAAGGGCCGCAAGATGAAGACGGTCATCACGGGCTGGGAGAAGGGCTTCGAGGCGGGCGGGCCAAGGGCCAGGGAGCGCGTCTTCCCCGTGCTCTTCTTCGACGACGTGCCCGGCGAGCCTGGTAACTTCAAGTTCCCGGACTCGCCCGAGAAGGTCTTCTCCTTCAGCAAGCAGACGCTTAGGGCCCTGCCTGCCGAGTGGGTCGCCGCGGCGGATCTGAGGCTCCCGGGGGTTGATGTCGGCCGGCCCGTCCAGGGGCGGGACACGGCGGAGCGGTTCAGAGAGAGGGTCCGGGCCCGGAAAGCCCTTCAGGCTAAGAAGAAGTTGGGCACGCCTAAGAAGGCCAGGACTGGGACCTCTGCTTCTTTTGAGGCCAGTTCTCCTGTGGAGGCCAGCTCTGCCGTGGATCTGAGCTCCGCCATGGAGGACACCACCCGAGAGGATATCGAGATGGCTGATGCGGAATCGCTGTCTGGCGCTACTGCCGTCGACGACACAGCGGGTCAGCCTAATGTTTCAGAGGGCCCGAAGACTCCTCCGACCGCGAAAATCTCTCTGAAAGGCAAAGCAGGTCAGCCAGGTCTTGTTAAGGCCGAGATGGCGGACCCGACCGAGAAGAGTCCTCCGAGCAACGCCTCTAGGGGATGGAGGGCTGTTATTTTCGGCGAAGATTCGTGATCGGAGACACCAGGGAAGAGCAGAAAGCCAGGGTGGATGACAAGGAACCTTGGAGGATGGATCCCAGGGTCATTCAACATGGACAAGCAACTGATTCTGATCCCAATGGGTGCACTTGGGAGGTCCCAGCGTTGAGACCGATTGAGAGCCTTGGCTCCCGTGGATGAATTGGAAAAAGTCAAGGAGCATGGTGGACTTGGAGGAGGGGAGAAATTGCAAGGGTGTTTTCTCTGGACACTTACCCCCACTCGATTAGCCGGGTGATGGATTCGGTCGTTAATATTACTGCAAGGCATGCAGAAAAACAGAGGCGACATGGATGAAAGGCGTTTGGAGTCAGAATGGTCTAGGACGGCTGAACAGCCATTGATGAACAAAATTTGGGGCAGAGGGTAGCTTAGAGATGCCGGTACTTTGAGGTTTTTGGGCTGGATGCAGCTAATTAAGACAGAGAAGACAACAGTAGTCTTAAAAAAACGTCTTCATGGAAAGCTCTTGTGCCAGCCTGTGATTTATTTGACTCCCTTTATAATAGCAGTACAGCAGTGTATGGGTACTTCCATAAGTGTGCATATACAGCTGTGGAGCGGGTAGCCTCATGTGCCTGTCTGGCTATCACTGCCCAACCTCCTCAACTGGCCCTGCACCGCGTTTGATGATGTGAGACCTCCCGTCTGATGTTTTGCATTTCATCGGACGTAGGCTGATCCAGGAAGTGTTTGTGTTCTATACAGTGCGACATCTAATGAGGTAGACATGATTTCCGTTCGCGCTAGAAATGGAGGCATGCGAGGCTGGGGTGAAGGGGGACAGCAAGTGAATTTCCACGCCATCATTGGTGCTGCCTGATCGAGACTACTGAACACACACAGCGACGTCTTCAGTGCTTGAGCAGCTACTTATCACACTCCTAAATAGTTCGTCCTTTGAGCCAAACACAACTAGACATTTCTGGGTTGTATTAGACGATGTGGATGAGCTCCCTGAGGAGTCGCCCAACCCACAAGCGAAGTTGCTAGGCCTGGTCAACCAGATCGCCTCCAGAGCGTTAACTTCCGGCACTATTGTCTACAAGATTCTCATATCTAGCCGTTCATCTCCAACTTTGTCACAGCATCTTCGAAAACAGCCGACAGTCTCTCTCACAAACGAGAAAGAGTGCGTATCTGCTGCGATCAGACTGCATGCGAGTCAGCGACTGCACTGTCTCCAGTCTCGTTTTGAGCAGCTCGGGATGCGGCCACACGAAACGGAAGAAGTAGCAGTACAGGTTGCTGAGAAGGCCAACGGTAGGTTGATTCTATATTTCGAATTCATCAAGTCATTCCCGGCATACTCAGCATACTCCTCTCTATTGGCCACTTCACAGTTCTTCTTCAATTTGCGGTTACAGGCAACTTACTCTGTTCAAGGAATGTTCCTATACGCGAGACTCGTGCTAGATCACCATAGCACCAATGTGTTCATGGACGCCAGTGAGTTTCGATCATCAATAAATCAACTGCCTCGGAAGCTCTCTGAGTTGTGAGTCACCAGACACTCTCAGGAACGATATCATGGACGCCTCTGACACCAATTTGATGGCGAAATCAGCTATGGCAAAATACTTGCTCAGATTCTATGCCCTCTCGACCCGAGATCCGTAGGCCATATCAAGTGTGTCCTCGTTTGGATAGCCTTTGCTATACGCCTGTTGAAGAGAGGTGAATTGCTATCTGCTGTGGCTTTCTCTTCCGGAAACGCCGACATAGTTCGACCTGCGCCTCAGTATATCTTGGAAATCTGTGGGAGACTTACTGAGGAGCGGAGTGACACGACCGTTTCCTGCATTCACGTTTCAGTCAAGGAGTGAGTTAATTCCCTGGGCACGACTTCGCTCCCACCCCCATCTTCTTTTTGTTTTGTCTCTACATGGCTGCTCATTTTTGGCACAGATTTCTACAAAGTGCGTCATTAAATCTCTTAATTTCGGAAAGCGAAATGATGGATCAACGTGCAATCGCCTCCATAACCTACCTCCTATCGGGCGTCCAACTTCAAGAAGCGGCCCTGGAGCCAACGAATACACCTACCAACGCATAGTAAATGGAGCGCATGGCTTCCACCTGTGCGCCTCTATATACTGGACCGAGCACCTGCTCCGAGTTGTCCAGTTTCAGCAGGGATTAAGCGATTCGTCACATCTTTGCGCGCTTGTCTTGCGCCTGGAAGCAGAGCTCAAAGCCATATTTCCAGCTTCTGAAGAAGAAGAAGAGGCAGTTCTACAACAAAACGTGGATCCACGACTGAGTGGCTTGCAGAACCAACAGTCCATTCACAAATTAGTGCAAAGGGCGCTATGGGCTTCTTCGCTTAAGATGCTGGAGCAGTCACTGAGTCAGGACACCCGTAAGTAAATGACTTTTTTGTGTTACCGAACCCGAAATGTGCACGGACTGACTACCTTTGTGTAGTGAACGACAGCGATGGTTTCGAAGGCAGACAGAGCAATGCCCCTACTCCACATGATGGTGCTTCGACGACTTTGTTAGTCCGATACCAGACATTGCTCGTACAAATATTCGAAACGCCGGATCTTGCTGGCATCACAGCACAGGAGCTGGAAAACTTCAAAAGAGACTTTCAGCAGTCTGTGCACACATGCAGGCTGGCAAGCTGTCCGCGGTCAACGTTCGGGTTTGACACAGACCAGCTCCGAGAGGACCACGAGATGTCGCACATACGAAGGTTCAAATGCACAGAGCCTGGCTGCCACTACCCCCTATTCCTATCTCCACACGCTTTCAAAAGGCACGTCAAAAAGTGGCATACCCGCCAAAGTCCGCGAAAGTCTTACAACTGAGGGTGCCTGGATCACAGCGCCCAAAGGCGCCTGTGCCGGCCTCCATGCTGGGGGAGAGTCAGACCAAGCCTGATATAGCTGTGGAAAATGGTTCGCCTTCATCATATGACCGAAATGATGCTCCTAAAGAGCTCGTACGATCTGACCCTAGTGACGACCTTTCAGACTTGGGCTATGTCGCATCAAGCACACCACGCCGGAGGAGCCACAACACCACGCCCAGCTCCGTCCCGCCGCCAGCCTCCCTACCCCCGATCGACGTCAAGAAGACCGAATACCTCGACCTCAACTACGACTCCTTCCGCAACCTCACCCTCGAGGATATCGTCAACCAAAATGACGTCTCTTTGGGCCCACCTAAGTCTAAGGATCTCGATAGCGCGATGGATCACCTACTGCGTCTACAGGTGAGACTCGAGGACGTCACAACTTCTGCGACCGCGGAATGAGGCTTTTGGTGTCTGTACTCAGGGCCAGGCTGGACGACGAGCGCTCCATGGAGGAGGAGCGCCTGCGCAGAGAGACTGCAGAGGACGAGATGGAGTGGCCTTCCTCTGACAATTTTGCTCTGCCCACTCCCTACCTCACAGGGGCTCCTCCACGGAGACGGGTCGCTCGAGATCGAGTTCTAGAATAGGGGGAAATGGATGCACCCATGCCCTCTAAGCATGGTTTAAGCCCCATAAGGCTTCCTGGATTCAACGCCCGCCCTAGATCATCACTCCCAGTATCAAGCTAAACAATAAAAGCCAGGAAGTCAAGTTGCTCTTCCCCTATAAGCGGCTCTGCCCTTAAACGTCCGCTCAAATGACACCATCCAGGATCGAACTAGAGGATATCTTATCACAGGCGGGTAGCTACATACACGCCCAAAGGACGAGCTCAACCCGGGCTCATAACCTCTAGAATACAGGAAAATGGTTGCACTCATGCCCTCTAAGCATGGTTTGACCCCCATCAGGCTTCCTGGATTCAACACGAGTGTCAAAATCTATTATCAGGAGTCGAAAAGCCTTGAACAATTGCAGCAGAAGAAGACCAAAGACCAACAAGTATCCTCAGGAAGCCGGGCAGCCCTCTCACAACCAGCTGTGCGCCCCATCCCGGGCTGCTCGGACTCGGGCTTCATCCATCCGACAAATCGACAGCCCCGCGGGGCCGCATGCTATTCAAGACTACACTAAGGACCTGTTCAACTCTAAAATTTGACCTTGCCTGATCCCAAGGCTTCATTAGAGTGTTCACCTCCATCTGCTTGCCGAACTGAGGGATGTGCGTAGTGTGACACCAAGGCCTGTCTGCCACCTCTTTGCGGACCGCGCGCGCGAACCACGAGCACCAGCCGCGGCGCGGGAACGCGGTGTTGACGCTGTCACGGGTGGCCTCACCAACCCAGCCGCCAAAGTACTCAATGCCGTCGTACGCCCTGACGTTGTTGTACAGCGTCGCGAGCTGGACCAGTTGGCCGAGGAACGTGATGGTGCCGTCCAGCCCCATGTCCTGGTGGCGGACGATGGCCTCGGCGACGGCCTCGGCCTGGTCGGCGCGGCCGCCGAGGACCCTGAGCACCTCCATGGCCCTGATTCCGCCGTAGATGTCGAAGGACATCCGGGCCGAGGTGGAGTGGGACTCTGCTGTGCCGATGTCGTGAAGGAGGCATGTTAGGGCCCAGGTCGACGGTGACAGCGACTCGGCGTGCTTGGGTAGCAGGCGCTTCGCGATGACGGTTCCTGGACCATGGGTGAGTGATGTCTTTTTGGGCCGCGTTGGCCGCGATGGTAAATACTCACCCCAGTAGTATATGTGCATCGAGTGGTTGTAGGCTTCTGGGCTGAGTCGAGCCTTAGCAAACGCCTGGGCCTCACCAACGAGCGTGTCTCCGGAAGGAAACTCGACATCCTGAACGGTGTAGGAGAGAACCTTCTCAAGCTGTCCCACGGAATCAACGATGGCTTTGGCGGTGACAGAGACAGCGGTCCAACCGTTAGCTTTGACCCCTGTAGAAGACATTTTCTGTTACTGCGACGCAAGAAGGACTCGGAGTGGTTGAGAAAGTCGTAGGATGAGAGACTGGATGCTCTGAGGGTATGATAGAACGAGTTGTTACGGCAATCGATTGCTTGAAGATCGGGTGCAGCATCTATCTATATATACTTGTATTCGGAATCCACACATTATGTGAAAAGACCTTGAAAGCCGAAGGCCAGAGGGCAAGGTTTCACATGTATGTATACACCATTTTTCGTTATACGTATTGCTGAGCGGTATCTCTCAAAGAGCCCAGCCTCGCGGAGATGACTCTGGGCCTGCGATGTATCGACTCCGTGTCTGCATAAATGTGTGTGCTAAGTCTTGACCTAAGACGCTTCTTCCAATGAGATTCAGTACGGGGCCGGATGCCGATCAAGTGAACACTTGCAGCTATTCCGAAAGTAGATAATAAAAGACAAGCCGCGGATATAGGCTTCACATTGTCGCGGTATGTCTTTAGTGAGACAAAATTTCTGTGGGCCACGACGGGCCACGAGAACACGTTGGCTTTTATATCCCGAAAGGGGTAAAGCAAACCTCCACCAGTCGCCGGGTCACCAGTCACCGGCTCGCCGGCCGCCGGCCCACCCGTCACCGCCGCCGAAGCTTCCGCTCATAAGTACTACTAACTGTCATTATGAATAAGTTCAATTGAGAATCCGCGAAGATTTTTAATTTGAGCATCTTTAATCACGCCCAGCCAGCATTCCGCGCCGCCACAAGCTTGCCGGCTTTTTCGACTTCAGCGCCCCATTCCTCTCTAAAGCTACAGATTACCGTACCTTGATTTACCAGCACGTCGACCCGATGGCAGTTAAACTCGCGAACCCGGTAAGATGAGAAAATTACCTCCAGAACACCAGTGCTGTACTATGCTGACCGAAGGCTGTTTCGTTTCGCCTCAAAAAGAGTCCTCTTGGATTCGCCGGGTTTGCAACGACGTTGATGACACTATCGCTGTCCATGATGGGAGCTCGCGGCGTAGAGAATGAAGGGATGTTTATTGGCAACTTACTTCTCTTGGCTGGTCTCGGGCTGATTATCACCGCCCAATGGGAGATGGTCAGAGGAAACACGTTTGGGTACACAATTTTGAGCGCGTTCGGTAAGCACACCGTTGCCCCCTAGGATCGTTTTGAAGGTATAATATTAACAGGAGCTCAGGCTTCTACTACGCGGGTTATGGTATTATGCTTCTGCCCTTCTCTTGGGATAATTGAGTCTTATGGTGGCCGTACCTCTGAGTACTACAATGTATTTGGCCTTTACCTTACAGGTATGAGGATCCTGAAGTTCTTTTTGGAGGAATGCTCAAGATGGCTCATTCGACCTAGTATGGTCCTGCTTGAATTTCATCTTCTTCCTCGCATCCTTATCGACGTATGTTGCTGTACTTCCCGTCCATCCATCTCTTCATCGCCAACAGGTAGACTAACAACGCCTTGCAATATGGAAACGTCGCGAATATCATCGTGTATGGTGCCCTCGAGCTCCTTTACATTCTCAGCTCGGCGGCAAAGTTTGCAATGGCAGACGGCGACTTCCCCACGGGGCGCATCTTGACCAGGACGGCCGGGGCTTTTGGAGCCATCTCAGCCCTCTCTGGCTTCTACCTCCTGTACCAGGGCCTCTGTGAGCAACTATCTCCTGTCCCGGCCCCACTGGGCGAACTTCACTGCTTTGAACCAAGAATTATCACGAAGGAACATACTCCGGAGCCGGCTCAGTAGCTGTGCTTCTGGACTACCTACAGCAGCATGAATAGGCGCGAGCACACGGCATGGTCGACAAGAAGTCGGGCGTTTGGTCTGAATCCAGCACCTATTAGGTCTATATGAATCGAGTTATAAAACGATGGTGTATACTTCCCCAATGCTTTAGCACGATTTGACCAACGGATGGAGAGGGCTGCCTGTCACAAGGGAAGCGTTCTGGATGGTTCGATAAGGCCGTGCCTGACTGTCCTCCCAGACGGCGCGCGTCTTGCAGCTTGGGTGCTGGAATCAGCCTCGGTTGTATTACACGCTCGGGCACGCTCATTGTGCTAGCTTCCCATTGCACATGGTATGGAGAGGGGAGCTTATTCGGGGAAGGAGGAGGCTGGAGAGGGGGAGAGGGCCTTGAGAGCTGCACGCGCCGAGGCCAAGACGAGGCCAAGACGAGGAGAGTGCGGGAGAAGAAACGGCCGCCTGGACTGTGTGACCGAGTAATGGTAGACAGATACGAGATGGACCGTGCCATTGGTCAGAATTTTAACCGGTCGGGATGATGGAAGTCTACGTAACTGCACGTAAGAGTGAGGGGGGTTTTATGCATACAATTATGCTATCGACCAGCCTTTTTTGGGTTGAGAGCCGCCCTTTTCATCCTGGGTGTCTTCTTATGGACGGGTGGCGTTGAAGTTGGTGGTGATCTTGTCTCGAACGAAATCCAACATCTACCGCTTTCGTTGGGTCGGGCGCATGCTTTGCGTACGTGTGCATAGGCGTACATGTACCACTACCAGTTCCGCCCCTGAATGGCACCTTGATGTCGCACCGAACACGCGCTGTGCTCCTGCATCAAGTCTATGATGCGACATTTTTTTCGAGATGGTGACATGACCGAGCTCGTGTCCGGCGCGAGGCCGGGCAACATGCACCCCAGCGAGGCAGTTGAAATAAGCTCTTATCGCCCAGGACAACTAAACTGGATGTAGGCACTGGCAATGCTTGATCTAGCCTGGCTGCCAGGTGGATGACGCGACGGCGTGAGCAGAACTAGCCAGGTGGTACTGCCAATGGGGCAAAAGTCTTGGCCGAGCGGAGGCCACAGAGAAGGTCCTGCCCGTTCCAGCCTGGCCTGGCCTACCGAGCTGCCGATATTTATCACGGATATTGCTTGGGCGATCTTCAATGCAGCAGGCGATCAGCAGATCAGAGAACGGGCGAGATCCGGGTGAATTCGGAAAGCAGAGCACGTTCTCAAAGCAAGAAGAGCATCTGTCTGTGAGAGAAGTCAGAGCTGCGCGTAGAAATTACCCGCAAGTCTAAAGTACCGGGGCGGGAGAGTCAAGAAAGTTAGTGCAATCTCGTCCTTCATTTTGGGTTCGAGGAGCCCGTAGCCATCATCCCATGATAATAGTGGGTTCTAAGCTCTGTGCTGGGATATCCATCCCGCCATCCCATGCACGCTGGAGCCAGCCCATGAACAGGGGACTCTGGATAGGGGACATTTCGGTGTCTTGGTCAAACGGCACCACCGTTGGGCCTGGTCGGGATCTGTTAAGCCAGGACCACCGGGCTTGCATCACACCGGGTACCTGGTTTGTGCCGATCCCCTGCAGGGCTAGAGTAAACTACGTGGGGAACCAGGAACCGGTACGAGCAGCACTGTAATAACTGAGGGCGCACCTCCACATGCATTTTCCGATCACCGACCCCATCTCGTCAACAGCCCAATGGATCGACAACGAACCCGCTCTGACTGCTTGGCTGGAGGGTGACGATGATAAAGGGTGGGTGGCCCTCCTCCTCTTCCCAATGCCTCCCCTCCAGCCTCTCCCCACCCCTCTCACCCCCCCTCCCACCATCATCACCACTCTCCTCCCGGCTCTGGCTCGGTCACGATGCTCTGCCTGGCCCTCCTCACAGCTGCGGCCGCAGTCTCGGCTCGCGTGCTCGACAGCGTCCCGGCCGTCCCCCAGGGATGGTCCAAGGCCTCGGCTGCCCTGCCCACCGACAAGCTCGCCCTCAAGATCGGCCTCAAGCAGCAGCATGCCGCCGCCCTCGAGCAGGCCGTCCTGGCCGTCTCCTCCCCGGGCAGCCCCAGCTACGGCAAGCACCTGACCCGCGAGGAGCTCCGTTCCTACGTGGCCCCCGCCGAGCAGTCCGTCGCCGACGTCACCGCCTGGCTCGCAAAGTATGACATCGTCCCCGCCGTCGACAACGACTGGATCACCATCTCCACCGACGTCAAGACCGCCAACGCCATGCTGGACGCCGACTTCGGCTGGTACGAGTACGAGGAGGGCGGCGGCCTCAAGCTGCGCACCCTCAGCTACGGCGTCCCGGACGAGATCGCCCAGCACGTCGACCTGATCCAGCCAACGACGAGGTTCGGCCAGCTGGGCTCCAAGAGGTCGACCATCTTCGACATTGTGATCGCCGAGGAGGACGACGACGTGGCCGCCCTCAACCAGAACGTCGCTGCGTCTCCCGCGGCCGCTGCTGCCCCTTGCACCACCACCGTCACTCCCCAGTGCCTCAAGGCCCAGTACAACATCGGCTACACGCCCGACACCGAGGGGAACCTGATCGCCTTCGCGTCGTACCTCGAGCAGTATGCGCGGTATGCCGACTTGGAGCAGTTCACGACCCAGGTGCTTCCCGAGGCTGCTGGCCAGAACTTCTCCGTCACGACCGTTAACGGTGGTCTCAATGACCAGAACAGCTCTGATGATTCTGGTAAGTGACAGATCGAGGATGCTCAATGTCATATGCTAACAATGATTCCCAGGCGAGGCAAACCTGGACCTGCAGTACGTCCTGGCGTGAGCCAGCCGATCCCCATCCTGGAGTACAGCACCGGCGGACGTGGCCCTCTCATCCCGACCCTGGACAACAAGTTCCCCAGCACCAACGAGCCCTACCTGGATTTCCTCACCTTCCTGCTGGGCCAGGACGACGCCGAGCTGCCGCAGACGCTGACGACCTCGTACGGCGAGGAGGAGCAGTCCGTGCCGGAGGAGTACGCCCTCAAGGTGTGCAACCTGTTCATGCAGCTCGGCGCGCGCGGCGTCTCCGTGCTCTTCAGCAGCGGCGACTCGGGCCCGGGCGGGTCATGCAAGTCCAACGTCGACAACACCACGACCACCTTCCTGCCGACCTTCCCTGCGGGGTGCCCGTGGGTGACGGCCGTGGGCGCGACGACGGGGTCCGCCCCCGAGATGGGAGTGTCCTTCTCGTCGGGCGGCTTCAGCATCTACCACGCCCGGCCCGAGTGGCAGGCCGACGCCGTGCCCGCGTACCTGGGCTCCATCGGCGGGACCTACGAGGGCCTGTTCAACGCATCCGGCCGCGGCATCCCGGACGTCGCCGCCCAGGGCCAGTCGTTCGTCATCTACGACAAGGGCCGCCGCTCCCTGCTGTCCGGCACCTCGGCGTCCTCGCCGGCCTTTGCTGGTGTGATTGCCCTGCTCAACGCCGCGCGCAAGTCCCAGGGCAGCGCGCCGCTCGGGTTCCTCAACCCCTGGCTGTACAACAACTCGGCCGCGCTCCTGGACATCACGGCTGGCTTCTCGAGCGGCTGCCAGAATGCCGGCGGTGGCCTGCCTGCGTCCGGGGCGAGGTGGAACAGCACGGCTGGCTGGGACCCCGTCACGGGTCTCGGGACGCCGCTGTTCGATAAGCTGTTGGAGGCTGCTGCGCCTGGGGTTGCGAATGAGTAGAGAGAGAGAGAGTGATCCTGGGGATGATGATGGGTTAAGATTTGAAAATATTTACATGGTAAGCTAGATGATACAATTCGATGAACATACTCTTGCATGGTACCAATTGTCGCATGGAACTGCGAACATAATATCTTTCGTGACTCGGGTCGCATTAATTCACCTATGGAGCTACAAAGCCGCAATCATGAGCTGAGAAGCATCACTGTCGTGCACTCTGGACTAAGCACCGCCGCCTCCCTCGGCCATTTCACGCCTCTCCTCGAGTGTGACGTCCCCGCTGTGACTCCGAGGCCAGTCCTGCCCGCTCGGAAGCTCCCTCGTCTCGCCCTCGTAGTTGCCTCGGATCCGCTGTATCCTCTGCGCCTGCATGGAGCCGGACTGGCCGCTGCCCTCGTTGATCTGCCCTGTCTCGCCATCGTGGTCGTCTCCGTTTGGCATGGGTTGTTCTTGGCCATCCTGAATTGCTCCATGGCCATTGACTCCGTTGGGTTGTCTCCTCACTACGTTTCATAAGCCCGCAGCCTCGCGCACCAGCTTCAGTGTGCTGTCCCTCGCCTTCTCCGCGAACCCTTTCATGTCCTCCCCGTACTTCTTCTCAAACTGCCCGTCAAAGACCTCTACGCTCAGCCACCCGCGGAATCCAGTCCCCAGCACGGCCCGCGTGAAGTCCGCGATGGGTAGGTACCCTCCGTCGTACGGCAGCGGGCGATAGTCGTGGCTCCACCTCCCGCGGGGCCGCAGCCCGGTGTCGTCGTTGGGCTCCGGCCGGGGCACGAGCGGCGGCTGCATCCGGTACGCGTCGCTGATCTGCAGGAAGTAGATCCTGTCCGCGGGCACGGTGGCGGCCAGCTCGCGCAGGCTGTCCTGCCACGACTTGTTCAGCCCTTCCTCGTCCACGCCGCCGTCCTTGCCGCGCTCCACCTTCCCCGACTCGGTCGTCGGGTCCCCCCACTCGCCGCCCGCAGACTGGAACGTATCCAGGCACAGCCCGATATTGTCGCGGCCCGCGAGCTTCACGATCTCCCAGACGTCCTTCCAGCCAGGCGCGTGCGTCGCCCAGCACCAGTTCTCGTACGCGATGCGGAACCCCTTCGGTCTCAGCAGGTCCGCCAGCTCGCCCAGGTCGGCCGCGAGGCGGTCCCGGTCGCCCGACGCGGCGGGCGAGTCGGTGCTGCCCACCTGCAGCATGGGGCAGCCGGCCGCCTCCATGATGGTCAGCCACCCGCGCGCGCGGGCGAATGCGGCCTCGCGCTCCGGGCTGGCAGGGGGCCAGCCCTCGAAGTTGGCGAAGGGCTGCAGGACGAGGATCTGCAGGCCGTGCGTGGCGCAGAGGTGCGCGGCGGACTTTGCCGCCTCGCGCAGGGCGGGCCAGTCGTCCTCTGCCACGCCCTCATCGTCGACCTTGTTGCTGTTGGGTGGTGTTTGGATCTGGCCGATGCGGACGAGCTCGTTGGCGTGGGAGAGCAGGTCCGGGAAGGAGAGCTCGATGCCCTTGAACCCGGCCTGCGAGATGGCCTCGAGCTTCTGGTGGAGGGAGTGCTTGGGCAGGCCGATGGAGCATGAGGCTAGGGAGAGGGGGATCTTGGACGGGTCGACGTCCAGGGGGGATGTATTTGTGGCGTGTGTAGCCATCATAAAATGTGTGTGTGTGTGTGTGTGTGTTTTTGCGTGTACTTTTGTGTGTCTCAAAGGTTGATATTGTTGTTGCAGGTCAACTGCAGTGAAGTGCGGTGTGGTGCACGGTGGTTTACTCGTTTGAGTGTCAAATAGAGGTGTCCATATATGGAATACGTATGGAATGTGTGCTTTTAGAAGGGGCTAAAAATAAGTCGGGCGGTACAGCATGGTTGAGGATCCGGGGCTGGCGGCTCATAAAAAGGAAGAAAGTGATAGAGACAAGTACTAAGTAACGCGATACCTACAGCTGGAGGCACAGACGGTGGCGGCACCAGGCCTGCGACAGATCGGATTTGCAACATCACTAAGAACGTCGTCATGATCTGGGCCTATCATGATGAAGGGATGATGTATAGGAGCGCCATGCAGGCCGTGGTGGTTCGCTGGGGCGTGTAGCCATGATGTCACTGACGATCACCCACTCACTAACGCATGTGCGTCTGTCCTGCCGCCCCGACTGTGCCAAATTCAAGATTGAGTGTCCCCGGCCCAAACATATTAGACCACACGTAGGTACGGTATGTCTCTCCTTTGCTGAACTACCGAGATAAGAGCTCGGGTAATGCTATAGAAACCAATCATAATGAATTGAGAGGCTTGACTGGCGGAAGCAAGGAACAGGCAGGCACGCAGCACTGGCCGCACTTGCACGTTGAGCCAGACCAACCCAACTCTACTTCTCACTTGACATCATGAGCTGGTAATTACACGTATAATTCGGGGAATTAAATGGAGAAATAGGGAAACAAGCTCAACTCGCAGCTGCCGTACCACAACTACTAGTGCAAAATGCCACGCCAAGCTCACTCCCCCTTACCTTTTCCGGAGTCCCGGGGCACCCGTCTGCAACAGCAAGGATACAATATCATACATTCGAGAAGCCTGAAGAGCTTCAGTGTGAACACGTCTCATTCGAAAGCCCTTGCTTTTCAGTACACTGCCAAGCCACTAGCCATCGACTTGAGCAAGACCAACAGCCAGGACAAGGCAAAATCATGACAAAAATGGAGGTCAAGAAGGTATGTCGAGACCGTCAAGCTAACTTCGCCCGAGCTGCCTCAACCAATCAAGCATAACCTCCCTGACAAGGCCACACTGACAAGGCTTCTCACAGCTGGGAATGATAGGCGCAGGGAGCATGGGCGGCATGATGACGCTCCTGTGCGCAGAGCACGGTATCGAGGTGCACATGTTCGACCCCTCGGCCGACAACGTGAACCGCGTCCTCTCACAGGCCAAGCAGGCCGGTCTCGACTTTAGGACTTTCTATCAGAAGGACTACGAGTCCTTGTGCAAGGCGCTACCGTCAGATTCCGCCAAGGTTTTCATCCTCAGCGTGCCGCACGGTTCCGTCGGCGACAAGACCATCGACGGGCTCGAGCCGTTCCTGAGGCCCGGAGACGTGATCCTGGACGCGTCCAACGAGAAGTGGAGCAGCACGGAGCGTAGGCAGGAGAGGCTCCGGCCCAAGGGGGTGCACTTCGTCGGCATGGGAGTCAGCGGCGGGTACCAGGCGGCGCGCCACGGGCCGTCCATCTCGCCCGGCGCCAGCTCGCCGGAAGCCTGGGAGGCGGTGTGGCCGCTTCTAACGAGGCTGGCGGCCAAGGACAGGTCGGGCAGGCCGTGCACGGCGAAGCTGGGCCCGGGAGGGTGCGGGCACTACGTCAAGATGGTGCACAACGGCATCGAGCACGGCATGATGACGGCGCTGTGCGAGGTGTGGGGCATCATGGGCCGGTGCTTCGGCTGGTCGCACGACGAGGTGGCGGGCGTGCTGGGACGGTGGAACACGGACGCCGACAGCCCGCTGCGGCACAACTTCCTCGTCGAGATCGGCGCCGAGATCTGCCGGACGAGGGACCCGGAGGATCAAAGCAAGTTCGTGCTGGACGACATCCGCGACAAGGTGGTGCAGGACGTGTGCGAGGAGGAAGGGACCGGCACCTGGACCGTCGAAGAGGCTGCCCGGCTACATGTGCCGACCCCCAGCATCACGGCGAGTCACATGTTCCGCGTGCAGTCGGCCTACGCACGCCGGAGGGAGGCCGCGCACAACACCTTCCACAAGACAGGCGACGCCGCCACCTCGCCTCACGCGAGCCCGGCCCAGGCCCAGACGGCCGAGGGCAAGCTCATGGCGGCCGGGTGGCTGCGCGACGCCACGTACGCGACCTTCCTGCTGTGCTTCGTGCAGGGGATGCACCTGATCGCGGCGGCCGACGACGAGCACGGCTGGGGGCTGGAATACTCGGACGTGATGCAGCTGTGGCGCGGCGGGTGCATCATCCAGTCGGACGCCATCGTCGACCTGCTGGACGGCGTGTACAAGTCCGGCCAGGCCGACAAGCACAACCTGCTGGCGCACCCGACCATCGCTGGCGAGCTGGGCAAGGTGACGGCGTCGTTCCGCGAGCTGGTCGTCGACGCCGTCAGGCTGGACGCGTACGTCCCCGCCCTCAGCGCCAGCCTCGAGTACCTCAAGTACTCGGTGTCGACGGACCTGCCTACCAGCTTCCAGGAGGCGCAGCTGGACTTCTTTGGGAACCACATGTATGACCTCAAGAGCGAGGGGCCTGGCGAGTCGGTGGTGGGGAAGCATCACTATGAGTGGAGGCCTGCGAGGGGCCTCAAGGAGATGGAGGAGGCGTTTCAGAAGGAGAAGCAGGAGAAGCTTTGAGTTGGGTAGTAATTGTGAATAGATAAATTGTAATGGAACGAGTGAACTCATAACAGTGGCCTAGACACGAGGGTGGTGATACACCCCATCCGGTCAATACCTGCAGACGTGTTGTAGCATAGTATCAATCTTGGATATCAACAGCGGAACGACCAACCTGGACCCGGACCGTGATCTGACCAGAAATTTTGATCGGGGTGTGCGACTGGTTTCAGGTCGAGGTGCGCTGACGAGTGAATTGACCAGTAGGAGCACCCAGCTGGAATCTTCTAACAATGAACAGAATTTGTGAGATGCATGAAGATATTGGGACCAAAGAAGAGACTGCGAATGTGTAAAATATGGAAAACTCATGATATCGACGCAGATGTTGGAGATCTGGGAAGGAGAATACGGGCAGCAGATATGAGATACAGAATTGAATATTTTCTCAAACGGGATGAAATAATCAGTGAAGCATATTGTTCGGTTGTGATTTTGTAGTGTTCATCAAGGATGCTAAGTCAATGTGATGTTTTTGGGAGAATGACCAGGCGTAGTCGTGACCCCTGCCCTGCAGGAAGAGAGGGGTCCAGTCCCTAGCTGCAGGTACCAGGGGGCGGTGAAGGATCCCTGCCCATTGGCGCATTGACCGCGTGCTGTCATCCAACCGCAACACCAGGATATTCTTTAGAGACATGCGACAAAAAAGCACCTCCTTCTTTCCTTCGGCTCGGAGCAGCCACCGCCACCTTTGTCAACAGCATCCCGTTCGAAGCCCACTCGGTTCTGCCCCTCTGTCTATGCATCTCTCATTCTCTCTTTGCTTCTTGTGCAGTTGATTTACTCTTCTTCTCCATGTCGCGGTGGCATTCGTCTTGAGCTTCATGTTATCCCCCTTTCAATTGGCCTTTCTTCGCAATGGCCTGCGACTCGTCTTCTCCGTGTCGCTGGTCCTGAGCCTGCTTCTCACTGTCTACCTGTACTTGTACCCCGCCTTCCTCTCGTGCGCTTTTCCTCTTCCTCGACACCGTACCTCGGGCTCGCACAACAGTGGCAGTAGCCGGCTGTCCGCCTTCTTCGAGACGGCAAAACTCCATCTGCCCTTCACCGACCCAACCGCGACGATACCAGACCGAGATGGCTCCGGCCACGTAACCCCTCTCCGAATAGCCCCTTTCCGGCTGCTAGCGCTCGGCGATCCCCAGCTCGAGGGCGACACGTCGATCCCCAATTACTACGCCGAGTCCTCCTTCCCACACCTCAAGAGCTTCTACTCGCACCTGGTCTCCCGCAGCGACGACCACCCTTCTTTCCGATCGAGCAAGAAACAGGCCTTCCATGACCTCGTCGACTTCTACTTCGATGACATTCCCAACACTTTTGAGAGCGTGCGCAAGCGAATCGACCTCTGGGGCAACGACTTCTACCTCGCACACATGTACAGAACGCTGAACTGGTGGACTGTCCCTACACACACCACTGTCCTGGGAGACCTGGTCGGAAGCCAATGGATCTCGGACACCGAGTTCGAGTGGAGGGCATGGCGCTACTGGAACCGCGCCTTCAGCGGTGGGCAGCGAGTGCCTGACGAGAGCGCAACATGGCCGGCAGAAGAGTACGAAGTGGCCGGATACCTGGGCAAGAGTGTATACAACGAGACGTGGCAACGTCGCATCATCAACGTCGCGGGGAACCACGACATCGGCTATGCAGGCGACCTGAACAACGAGCGCATGGACCGCTTCGAGCGCGTCTTCGGCAAGGCGAATTACGAGCTGCGCTTCGAGCTGCCCACCTCGGTCCTGTCGCCCGGCGGTGCGAGCACCATCCGCAACGACACCGCCTCCAACGACGAGAACTACAACGGCCAGGACGACCGGCTCGTGCCCGAGCTGCGCATCGTCGTCCTCAACGACATGAACCTCGACACGCCCGCGCTGTCGTCCGAGCTGCAGGACCAGACCTACCGCTTCGTCAACGACATAATCAGCACCGCCACCGCCGTCGAGTTCAAGGGCCACTCCACAGTCCTCCTGACCCACGTCCCGCTCTACAAGCCCGAGGGCGTGTGCGTCGACGCCCCGCTCTTCACCTTCCATGACGGCGACGGCACCCTCAAGGAGCAGAACCAGCTATCGGCCGACGCCTCGCGCGGCATCGTTGAGGGCATCTTCGGCCTCAGCGGTGACCCCGAGGCGCCCGGGAGCGGGCAGGGCAGGGTCGGCGTCATCCTCAACGGTCACGACCACGAGGGCTGCGACACGTACCACTTCGTCAACCAGAGCCAGGGGGACGACCCCGCAGGCAGGGACTGGCAGGTCAGGCGGTTCCCCGAGGCCGCCGCCGACGGCCTTCCCGGCAGCCCCGTGCTCCCCGGGGTCCGGGAGCTCACGGTCCGGAGCATCATGGGCGGCTACGGCGGCAACGCCGGCCTGCTGAGCGCGTGGTTCGACGAGGACGAGTGGCAGTGGAGGTTCGAGTTTGAGAACTGCGCCCTGGGGACGCAGTACGTCTGGTGGGGGGTCCACGCGCTCGACCTGGTCACGGTCGGGCTTGGCCTGGCGTATGCTGTTGTCTGCTTGCTGGGTGCCGGTGGGGAAGAGAAGAAAGCGGTGACCGGGGCTGAGAAGACAACGACTGGCACGAAGGAAAACGGCCGTGCTGTCGTTCCTGGAAAACCTGTGTTGGTTGGAGAGGTGAAGACCGAAGAGCATGTGAAGACGTGACCGCTATGCGAAGTGATATTGTCAATAACCATGTTGCATCGAATATACCCCAGCATTTTTGTATACTCAATAGAGCTCGTCACATATTTCGACCTGGAAGTTGAGGTGCAAGGGCAGGCCCTCCTACGTGTTGAAATGCGTTCTCTTACAAATTGTTCTTTTGTTCCGTGAAACGCACATGCAAGCAACGTATAGGACAGGAAGGGCATTACAGCAAAGCCGTTCAATCAGTCTCCCTGGAACGATTGCTAATCCTCCGTATAACTCTTTCCCGAAGCAAGACTCCTTCGAGCACCGTAACCAAAGTTGTTCCTTTAATACTGTCTTCCATAATTAGCACGGGTTGAAAGAGAGAATGAGTTCTTGTTCATACTAACATTTTATCAAGCTTCTTGCTCTAATTATACGTATACATTCTTCCCGGCCACGGGTATTGTACTCCACTACCTCAAGTAACCAGTTTACCTCCCCAGGCCATAGAAATATCCCGAAAGATCCGTTCAACTAACAACACCCGTAGCAGGAACTAAGGCCCCCTGTTTCAGTATCTTGGTTGCAAAAAGAAAAGAAAAATCCAAAAACATAACCTTGTTTTCCTGCCCTCCCGTCTTCGAAGCTCTCTCTCTTTCTCTCGTGCGGACTGGAGGCCCCCTAATTTCTCGATCTTATGTTCTCGACACGGAAGCACCATCCAACTCTGACGTACCATGTGCTTCATAGCTTCCAGGGAGCTCGTGTCCCCGGCCTCCGTGTCTGCCCCACTCCTCCAGCATCTGTGGCCTCTCCCGTGGTGACAACTCAGCGACGTGCCCAGCGCCGCCATTGCCGCCGTCGAGCGTAGCTGCCTCTGTGTCTCCTGTGCATTCGTCTCCTTCCTTGGTTGTCGGCTTGCGAGATTCATGAAACCTGTTCATGAACCGAGAGACCCTTTTCAGGTGCCAGACTGCCACCACCACGAGGAGGAACCCCACGACCGCTCCTGCAACAATGCCCCCAATCTGCCCTCCTGTCAGACCCAACACCGTTGCCGCCCCCTTCGCAAGTGTCCGTTCTAAATTTCAACAATAAACTCCCAAATCGTGTCGGTCTGTCCACGCCTCAAAGGATTTTGCAAACCAATCAATGTAAGAAACGGTCTCTTGGGACTTGTGGCTGCGCCAGGAACCAGGCTGCAGACGATCACCCGGAAAAAGAAACGAACGCCTTCCAGCGGACTCTGACAAGCCCATTACAAGACACTAATTGACTTCGTCTCCGTTTAACTGCAAGACAAGAATAATATCCAACCGTAGCAACCTTGAACGCCTGGTTGGGATTTATTCCAGCCTGAGGCGTAAACCGGGCCAAGACGATGTTGCTTTTATTAAACTACATTTGCACTTAAGTGCTACATAATGAGCTATTTAACGACTATTAGAGGCAGGAACTCTATAACTGCTCTAGTACCGATGCCCCTGATCTGCGCTCCTGTGAGACTGACTATTGCCTGTGGAAGATTAAGCAGCATTGGTCTGGGGGAAAGATCTTGGTTTTAATGAGGACACACCAGACTGCTACCGATACCAGAAAAGTAATCATGGAAGAATTTAAGCGCAATGGCTGGCTAAGGTGGGAATGGATCTTGAAACACGGTCTAATTGATGACTTGAGACCGAAGATTGCATAGCGCCTGGGCAAGCAACAAGCTCGCGCAAGAGGCAAGAATCAGCAACTAGTGCTTATTATCAAGGCCGAGAGGAGTGCACGAAATCCTATATATCCCCTCCCGCATCAGGTCGCACTTCCATGACCGACACCAGACAGAGTCCTCCATTGAAGCCAGAGATGTCGACCTCACAGATTCTTCTTTTCTCCCAGCCACGTACGGGGTGCCACCTGCTGGAACGCATCCTTACGTCGAAGCAAGACAACGCACGACTTCTGGCACATCCTGCGCAGCTGTCAGTCCAACCGCTCTCCAAATGGATGAAGTCTGATTCGTTTACGGACGGGATGCCTGATGATGTTCGGGTGGAATATGAAGAACACATCAAACAGGGCAACATAACCTGGGAACAGACGCTGGAGAATACAGAGAAAGAGGTGTGTATTGCTCTGAAAGTCCTACTAATCGTTCAGGAAAATGTAGTGGGCTAAAACTTGGACGTCCCAGGGCAAGATCCTTTTCATGCATACACACCCTTTCTTCATTCTTTCACCAGACCGCCTGCTGGCTTCTGTCACCGCCCCAGGGGCGCTTCAAAACGACGGCCGGCCGATATCCCTCATCCCCGAAAGTCTTCTCCTCCATCCAGGCACTATACCGCTGTTCACTATCCGTCATCCAGTTCTCCTCGTGCCATCCTCGATCCGCGGTATAAAAAAGGCGGAAACGGGTGAGACACGAGCCAGCTTCATCATCGGAACCAGCCTCGGCTTCAGTCGCGAGATATACGACTGGTTTGTGGCCCGAGGAGTCGAGCCGGTCGTCGCGGAAGCGGATGATTACATGACAAGTGCAGACTTCAACCGGCGCCTGGCGGAAAGGCTTGGTCTTGACCCGGCGCTGGTGGCTGTCAGTTGGCCGGAGACGACGGAAGACGAGCAGAAGCTGATGCACCCGGTACTGCTCCGCATGCAGGAGACGCTGGTCAAATCCCAGGGCCTGGATGCGAGCCGTGCTGCTAGGAACGTGGATCTGACGGAAGAGCGGGCACGCTGGAAAGAGGAATTCAGCGAGGAGGAAGTAGTGTTGATGGAAGAAATAATTGCCCATACAACTCCCCATTACGAGTACTTGCGAGAGCGTCGTTTTGTACCTAGCAGCCGTAACTAAAAATAATCTGACGACAGTGTGTCGTCAGAATGGCGCAACGCACCGCCCCTTCTCAACCTAAATAAAATACTCGAGACAGGATCAAAGTTTGGCCCGGACAACCCTTTGGCGATCTCGTGGAGTCCAGAGTCTGTACCACCTCGAGACCCCGTGCATGTGGATATAACCGCGAAGGTGGGTGGGTCAGTCAAGCTTGTCTGTTTGATTCACGGTCATCTAAGACAAGCTCGATAGGCTTCCGTCGCACGTAGACAAGAGAAACTGACCCACCCGTTGACTGCTAGGCGATGCTGCACAGGCTTTCCCCGTAGATTGAGCGGTTTCCAGGCAGCCAAGTCTAGGCCCGCGGCCCAGAATAACACCACGGCGCGAAAGCAGAAACAGAAAGAAAGAAACAAACAAACAGGATGTACTAGTACCAGTCGCGTTGATGGGCTACGTACAGTGTGGCATCCGTGGCTGTGATCGTTAAAGTATTCTGTTGACGGGCTCTTTAACAATGCGAAGAGGCAGTGCCCTGCCCAGGTGAGGGACACGTCCACACACACTGTATGTTGTGTCACCCCAAAACGGAACAACTTTCGCACCGAAACAGCCCAGCTATAAATGGAGGCCTCTCGACCTCGAGAACAGAGGTTTGCTGACCGAATTACCCTCATTTGTCAACTCTCACCCCGGCAACAGTGAATTTTCATTTCCCCTCGATCTCTTTCGGTTTTAGTATCTGTCATGTCACTCTCATTTGATGCATCCAGATTCAACAAGGCCAACGGTGATGTTTCGGACCGCCTAGCAAGTCTTGAAGGGTCCGGGGACTTTGGCGTTGAAGACATCCTCTCGGCGGCGAGTGGTGAACTGTCGATCATTCCCTCCGCACACCTGAGGACCGAAAAGGAACTCGGCCGTGGAACCAGCTTTCGAGTAACGAAAGATATCTACGACAAACCAAACAGCGGTGTTTCCCCATACTATGTTGCGGTCAAGAGGTTCGTGCCCTCGACACGATATAATGGGCATCAACATACAAGCGGCAGGTTGTACTCTGGTCTCTTGCGAGAACTCCGAGTCATCTTGCACCCGCCGTTACTAAGCCACGGTTGCATAATGCAAGCCCTAGCCCATGGCTGGTACCACGATCCCGTCATTGGCATGCAACCGTATCTCGTGCTAGAGTATTCTGACTATGGCAGTCTCGCTGACTTCTTGCGAAGATCAAAGATCTCGCTTGTGGAACGGCGAGAGCTGGCATTAGACACTGCATCGGCCTTGAATGCGCTGCACAGCTGCCGTATCATACATGGCGATATCAAACCGGAGAATGTTCTCATCTACGATAACGATGATGTTGAGAGCTACCTGGACAACCAAGAGGTCAGAAGTCAAATTGCTCGACTTGCAGACTTCGGTGCAGCGGTCTTCGAACAAGATTTTATACTCCAGCCCGAAGTCACTTACCTTGGCACGTTGAGGTACCTTAGTCCGGAATTTGCTGGCCGTCCGGGTGTTTCAAGGGCAACTAAATCCCCAACCTTCGACCTGTACATAAGCGCAGACGTGTATTCACTTGGTTTGGTGATCTGGGAGATCATAAAAGATGGCCATACTCTCATTTGCAATCAATCGTATCGTTTTGGCGCTAGTAAGCTGCACAACATACACCACACCCTTTTTCCTCCTTACTTCGTTTTTTAACTATTTTTACCTTTTATATAACAAATATACCCTTAATTTAAATATACCCTATATTAAAAAATAGCTACTTTTTTTTAATTCTTTTAATATTTATTTAAGGAGGGTAAAGGAATTATTTAAAGTATAAGGTATATTAATATTTAATTTTAAAGATAAATTTAAAATTTTAAGGAGGAGGTATTTTTAAGTAGATTTAGGTATAATTACCCCTTATTTATAATAATTTTAATATAATTCTTAAATTTTATTACTCTTTACTACCCCTTTAAATTTAACTTTAACTTAAGTTATTTTTAATCTTAATTTAAACATACCTTATATCTTTAATATTTTCTTCTCCCTTTTTAAATTTATATTAAAAGAATTTAAAAAAAAGCAGCTTTCTTTTAATATAAGTAATTATTAAATTAAAGCTATATTAAGAAACTTAAATGAAGTGCGATTAAAAAAGGGTGTGGTATATGTTATGCAGCTCATCAGCGCCAAAACGATACGATTGATTGCAAATGAGAGTAAGTACATTGATTCTGACCAATTGAGTCATGGCCAGAATTGGGAGGATTACCTGGACCACTTATGTGCCTCGAAATCCGATGCCTTGTTGTCCACTGCACTCTCCTTTTGCAACAGCTTACCGGAGCTAGAACAGCATCCTGTCATTCATGATGCTCTCACGAAGACTTTGGCTATGTGCCTAAAGGACGAGCCATCGCGACGAGGTTGAATGGATGAATTGATACCCGTGTTGGCAGATGGCACAAGGTAAAACTTGTCTTCATTTTTGGAATATGCGAAATAGACTGACTCGCATTAGGATAACGAGACCTAGATACACCACATCTCGGTTAAGATTTCTCCCTTTATCTGAACCGTCGGACGATCCTGAAAAAAGTGTGACAACAATCGTGCCAGCTCGGAAGTCTGAGGGCGGCCTCGTGAACCGTATCCAAATCAATGTTGAAGGTAATCTGAAGGTACGAGTAGTCAATGAGGACGAGAGCACGCCTGACGGTATAACAAGGGATGTCGGAGGTTTGTTGCTTATGAAACCATCCAAAACGAATGCACTTGAGAACAGAGGCCTGGATATTTTCAAGGTAAGCCATCACAAGCTACGTACTTGGTCTTGACATAATTTCTCACAAATCTTTCAATTTCCTATAGCTGGTTATGGCAGTTGGTCAACCACCATGGGCGGCCCAGTGCCAATTGGCAAGTCGGATGCGGACCATCGCCATACTACACAGCTCTGATGACGCCAAAAAGGCTCATGCCCATCTACAACTTTCTGCTACGTTCCACCTAGGGTATGGCGTGGAGCCTGACGCTTCTGTGGCCGTGACTCAAATCAAGGCCTCGAATTCAGCACGTTCACTAGCCAAAGAATTCTACGATCCAGTGCTCGAAGCCCTGCAATCTTTGGCAAAATCTGATGACCAGTGGTGGGACTTGGGATCTGGGAGCCAGGACAAAGCTCGGTACAGCAGATACCTCCCATTACGTCCACGCGAGACCGGAATACCTAAAGCTGCCTTTGACTTCTCTCCAGCCCGCATAGATCCTATTACTGGTCTGCGTGTTGAAGAGCCTCTCGAGACAAAGGCTGACACAACAATAACCGACTCTGCTCTGACGACAGCCTGTCGAAACGGAAACTTTTCCAGCGCGAAGGAACTAGCAAAGAAGTCCATTAAATTCGAAGGCGACAGCGATTCACCAAATTTCCTACACTGGCTGATTATGTTCCAAGCTGATCAAGCGAAAGAGCTTTTGCAAATATCATTTGCCAACGAATCCAGAGCAACTTCCAGCAAGATTCTGCTTGACCAAGAATCAAGGCCTCTCTTGTACTTCCCCAACCTTTCCCTAGAGCTATTTGGAACTCCACTGCACTGGGCCGTTCGCACTGGAAACATCGATCTCGTCGCTCTCTTCATTGATTACGGTGCCGATATCAATAAAGTGTGGCAAGGCAACTTCGTTTCGCAAGGTGAAAGCAGCTTGAGCAGTGGCGATGCCCCGGTTGGAAGCATCACATTCCTTTTCACGCCTCTCGAGCTCGCCGTCACTCATCACTTTTCGGACATCGCAGATCTCCTGCTTCGGAAAGGCAGCCTGGTATTTCGCTCGGAAAAGTATCAAACTTGGCATCACTCCTGCTTTCACATGGTTGGGCTCCCTGTGGTCCCATTCGCTCGGTTCACCTCTCATGGTGGTCTGTATCGCGAGGCAGCTCGGCGGACGATTCAAGTCCTTCAGGACCACGGACTAGACATTAACGCGACAGACAACTTCGGCAACACACCATTGACCCTGACCACTCAGTTCACCGACGTCGAGCCATATGTGTTGGAAGAGATGCTCAAAGCTGGTGCCGGTACTAGCGCTCAATTCGACTCAGCGGAAGGCAGCATTATGACCAGTTGCGCCAAGCACGGGGTTGACCGCCCACTCGATACCCGGCGAGTCAACTTATTTCTGCCTCTCGTCAAAGACCTCAACGTTCTTGACAACACTGATGATGGCCGGGGTGCATTACATTGGTGTGCATTGTTCGACGTTAGTGGAGTAGCACGAGCTCTTCTCAACACTGGACGGGCGAGGGTAGATCAACTGTCGCGAAGGGGCCACACGCCCTTGATAGATGGCGCGTTTCGCGGAATACTATCGACGATAGACTGCCTGGTCCAGGCTGGAGCAGACTTGGAACTCCGGAGCAGGCAAGGTCTCACAGCGCTGCAGGTTGCTGTGTCTTCGCGACACTTGCAGACTGCAGTCAAGCTCATTCAGCTGGGGTCGCAGGTCGAAACCGGGCAGAGCAATATCTTGCATCTCGCCGTCACCAATGCGAGCCAGAGAGGCTCGATCGCCCGCGAGCTGCTGGAACAGTGTTCGGAGAAGCTCAAGGTTGCGCGGATCCTGAATGGATATGAGAACGATGGCTGGACTCCGCTGCATCGCGCTGCGTATTTTGGTGACCTCGATGGGGTGGAGGCTCTGCTTGACGCCGGGGCAGACCCACTCGCGTTCAGATCGTCTCCAGAACTGCTCTACGGTGGGAACCCATTGGAGCTGGTGAACAAACTTAGCAGAAGGTTTCAGACGGAAGGGCTAGGGAAAGACCATGCCAAGGTCTCCGTCCAGGGCGACGCTGCTGTGAGAGAATTCTTGCGGAGGATTTCCAAAATTCAACGCACCCTCTCAGTGTGGGTAAGTGGAATGCAATAATCAGGCTTGTTGATATAGATGCCAAATTGCGCCGGTCCTCAGCCTCAACCTAGCATTACATATACGTACAGTGAATATAACCGTGGACCACATCACTCTGGTATATTCCCAACGAAGACAACTAGAACAGCACAGTATGCTGCTGTGGCAGTAAATATTTCATAATTTCGAGATTCCGTGAGAAGATGGCTGTGAAGATCGACAATGCCCAGAGTCTCGCAACCATGGATCTGGCACAATACAAGACCACTATTGGCAGAGTCATCGAAACCACAGCAAGAGTTGTTGTCACGACTCTTGATGCGCCCATAAGTAGTGAAGGTTCAGTAATTGTTATATTCGGATCTTCAGACTTCAAATGCTCCGCCTGTTTTGTTGGTTAGTGCATATTCTTGCGTTCTCATGATACACACAAGGACTCTCCATGCTTACTTGGGTCGAGAACAGCTATTCATATTTCGCGAAGTTAGAAAGAGTGACAGAAGCCTTGGAGATAATACGAAAGCAGGAGAAACTAGCGTACCCTGTCGGGCAAACAGTGAGTCCACTTTTCCAAAAAGACATCAAGTCCACCTGGTTTCAAGAGATTCTCCGGAGATCGTAAATCATCAATTTCAGAAAGAAAAGTCGACTCAGACTCCACAAGTGGCTTGATTCCCTTCATCCAATTCCTCACACTCTTAACCTTGGCCTCGCTAGGTTTGGGGCGCCTAATGTTGTCAAAATAGGAAGCAAGCAATTCGTCTAGTCAGGAGTCAGCTGCTTGTTTCTTATGTGGCCAATTAAGGATCCACCGTACTGTACTCATTAAGCTTCACCTCTGCTTCTCGAACCAGAGCGTGTCTTTTGGTGTTCAGATCTTGCCGCCTGCAGCTCAAGTAATACTCTGTCTGCTCCTCTGTGTCGATTTGTTCAAGCCGTTGCTCCAGGTCAATCAACTCGTCCTGCTTATGCAAAAGAATCCGAGCTTGAAGTCTGCCGAAACGACGGAACATCATGAAGTCTCGATCGCTGTTGATGAAGGCCGAGAGCCTAGGATATCCCCTACGCAAGCTTTCAACTGAACCTCCGGTATCAGACAGATGTAAAGCAGCCTTTTAGGCATATCCAGTGCTGTTAGAAGACTCACTTTTTCGAGTCCGCTGGTCGATTCGGAACTCAGAGAACTCATAGCCTGCTGGCTGAGCTGTTACGAGGTTAGCATAATAATAAAAAAAAACTCCCTGTGCTTCTCCGGGAGAGGGTTTTCAAGGCAACCCACGTCTCGATCTCCGCACAAATTGCATCGGCGCCTGCATGATCGATATCTACACTAGTTATGAGAACCTCAGAACTTGGAAAATTGAGACGTGTCCGATTTATTTTCGTTCCGTGGTAATTTCGTGGAGTTGAGCATGCGAAAGTAGCACCAAGGGCGTTTCGTTGGAAGACAATTCGCAAGACGTTCCGTAGTAGTGCCCAGATTTTGGTTTCACATAAAACCGATTTATGAATTGCTGAATCTTTATAAGTTGTAAGGTGCGTTCAACGTGTACTTATATATATGTTTCATCGAGGATGAAATGCAGATCGAGCCCCTCTCGAGGAGCACCGGCAAAATTACGTATTGGGCAGGTACATGTACTGAAATGCCAAGCAGCTCATTTTGCCCACATTTGCCATCTGTAATCTTTTCGCCGGTCGAATCGGATGTACCATACGTGAGTCGACTGTCTCACAACTAAGCCTGGACTAACAAAGAATTTTCAGCTACTAATTGAGAATGCAGTTGACCGTTGTCTTGCCTCTTGATCGTATACATTCTGTCCGAACTAACCGACACGACCACGTACGGGCCGGCTGGCTGAGACTGGCCTGGCACTGCAAGGTATACAATCTGACGGACTTTGTACAGAGGCTCTTGCGGGAACTAGAGTGCATTCAGCTGCGTTCCTAGGTGTTATATTACTTCTGCCTAATTACTATCACTCCGTCCAGACTATTGAGAACTCACATCGGCTGGGCTTGCGTACGCCTGAACGCGACCACGGAACTTCCCAGAAGCACTATCAGAGAATTCAGGAGACTGCTATACATATATTAGTCTAGCTGGGATAATGAAACAAGAACGTGCGACAAGGTCTCACATCGACGTCCTCCTCACTGGAGTCATCCTCGGGTTTCTTACGGCTGCGCCCTGACATTCCCCGTCCCACTCTGTGTAACAATGGATTCCGACTACGATACAAGGATCAAAATTTGAGCAGAATCGAACCGTGTTTTGGAACACGGGCCTTTGGAAAACAAAAAGGAAGAAGACAGCGTAGCATTCCAGCGGCTTAAGTACACATGCCATAGTTACACGACAAATCAAGCCTCGCACGCGCCACATCAACTTAGCTACATGTGGAACACTGCGTCGCCCGCCGTCCAGATCGAGATGTCAGCTTGACATCACACAACATGCTTGGCATGTAGGATTTGGTGTGAGGCTTACCAATCATGCCTCAAAGATCCTGAGAACGAGGCGCCGCGGCGTGTGAATCAGACCTTCATGCCGGCCATTTAGGCCCCTTTGCAGGTGAGATGTGATGAATTTGGTTACAGAGGCGAAGCCTGGCTCAAACAGGATTCGCTTGCCAGAAGTCGAGTTGACCCTATTCCAGGCTCCCCTGGCCGACACCGCTGATTCCAATTAACGTTTTAGGTGCTAGGTCGAAGTACATTGCGGTCCACCACCTCAAAATATTGGCCTGAGATACTTAGTGATGGTACTTCAGAAGGCATGGGGCAAGGTGCATCGCCGATCTAGGCTGCAACCCTCCCTCAAAATTCAAAACTAACCAGGTCCCACGCAGCAGCATTTTCACTGAGCAACTTTGGAGCCTACATCAAACAGCGCAGATTGACAGCAGATCCCTGCGCTGACTCTGCAAGCAAATGTCGTCCGGCAAAGATATCATCGAAGACTACAAAGATCATTCTCAAGACTATTTCGCTTATTGGTAGGTCTCTCGTACGTACGATAATCGTATAGGAAGCAATTATATATTAGTGTTATTCTATCTAAGTTCTAAGAGGCTACGTACCTTAAAGGGGATAACTAAAATAGCCTTTTAAGTATAAGGATCATACTTATTAATACTTATAGTTTTTCTCTTCTTTTAATAAGTATATATAATTTTTATTATAATTAGCTTAAAATTATAATTTATTATATATTAAGTATATATAATCTTTATTATAAAAAAGCATTATTAAAAAGGCTTAAAATTATAACTTATAAATTTTAAAGCAAACCTTAATAATCTTTATTATTATATTATTTCTTAAACATTATACTTATTATTCTTAATACTTAACTTTTAAAATTACTTCTTTATAAAGATTATTAATTTTTATATAAAGACTTTAATTTTAAATTTCTTCTTTATAAGGAAAATTAATGCTTATAAAGTTAATATTAAATTCTTTAACTTGCATTTATTTTTATTATATATCTTTATAATATAAATATTATTATTTTTATCCTTATTTTTATTATTAAAATATATTTAATATTACTTTAAATTAATTTTCTTTAATTATTTTTTATTTTTTTAAAATTAAGTATTATAAGTAGCTTAATTATTTATTAGCTTTTTCTCTTGCTTTTTATTATTCTTTTTAATTTTCTTAATAATTATCTTTTACTTAAATTACTTAAGTAATAATATATATTTCTTAATAAGTTTCTTTATATATAACCTTATATATGCTTATTAATAGTTTAATATAAAAAGTTTTAAATTTAAGTTAATATAATAATTTAATCCTTTAATAACTTAATCTTTTTAATTTAATATATATAAAAGATACTTAAGATTAAAATTCTTATTAAGTTATTTATTATAAAAATTATAATAATTTAATATTTAAGATAGTAATTATTTTAATAATTCTTATTATTAAAAATGCTATATAATCTTATATTAAAAGTTTTAATGCTTTTAATATAAATATATAATTCTTTAATTATATTATTAAAAAATATTTATTTATTTTAATATTAAAACTTATTAATAATTTAAATAATAATTATTATAATAATATTATTTAAAAAAAGTATTTTAGCTTAAGTTATAATTATAACCTTTAGCTTATTAATTTTAATAATTTTATAAAAGTTAACCTTAATAAGCAGCTTATTTTTTTTTAATGCCTTATATAATAATAAGATTAAAAGCAATCTTTATAATCTTTATTAAGGTTTTATTAACTTAGTTTTAATTATCTTTATTATTAATATTAAGTAAATAAGAGTTATTATTATTAATATCTTTATTAATATTTATTAAATAAGTATTATTAATAATAACCTTGCTATAAGAATTAATAAAATTAATAAGCTTATCTTTATTTTTATTATTTAAGGCGATTTTAACCCTTTTTATAACCTTAATAATAATTATAATTTTTATTTTATTATTTATTAAGATTATAATTATAATATTTATTTTATTAATTAAGGTTATAATTATAATATTTATTTTATTAATTAAAGTTATAATTATAATATTTATAAGGGAATTTTAATTTTATTTAAGGGTTATAATAAGGTTACTTTTAATATTAATTATATTAATAGCAATTATAATAATAATTATATTAAATGTATTTTTAACGCGGGCAATAAATGCAATATTTATTAAATAATTTTACTTATTATTATTATTCTTATAAGGCATATTAATAAAAATATTAAATAATTCTTGTAAATTATTATTAATATTTTTTTATTATAATAAAAAGGAAAAGATTTTATAAGAATTTAATAATTAAAATAAATATTTATAATGCAAAACTTTATAATTATTATATAATAATTATTAATTTATTCTTTAATTATAAGAAAAGTTAATAAATTATAAATATATTTAATAAAAGTTAATTTTAATATTATTGCTAATAAATAATAATAAAAAGCAATAATAATAATAATAAGGTTAACTTTAAAATAATAATTATTAATAATATTAATAATTATAAAGTTATCTTTATATATAATAAGGTATTAAAAAGGTTTTAATTAAAATATAAAAGGTTAAAATTTATATTAAGGGTTTAAGTTTAAGAGGTATAAATTTTATAATTAGCAATAATAAGGTTAAAAGGAAAAGATATTAATAATAAATTGCTCTTTCCTTAGCAAAAAGAAGCTACTTTAAGTTTTTTAATTAATTTATTTACTTATATATAAAGCTTATTATTATTAATAAGCTTTTATAATATAATATTTAAAGTTAATCTTATTATTATATTAATAAAGTTATTCTTTTTATTTATTTACCTTACTTTAATAATCTTTCTTATCTTATATAACTTTTATAATAATATAATATTAATTATAAAATGTTTTTTCTTTATTATTCTTAGCTTTATAAGGTATTTATATAGGTTATATAAGTTTATATAAATAATTAAAGGTATATTTAATAATAATAATTATTTTATAGCTATTTTAATTATTATAATTAAGGAAATTTTAATATTTACTTTATTTATTATATTATAAATTTTGCTTATTAATATACTTTAAGTAATATATTTATATTTTATTAATAATTAATAAAAAATATTACTTATTATTATAAATTCCTTAATTTCCTTATAAGTCTTATTTATAAGGATAATAATATATTTAAGTTAAGATATTAAGTTTTAATTATTTATAAATAATTTATTTATAAATATAAAGAGTTTTATTATTTTAAGATTTAAGAGCATATACTTAATTTCTTATATAATATTGTTTATTTATTATAATAATTATATATTTAAGTTTTTATAATTTTTTATCTTTAAGTTTTGTACTTATATAGCTATTAAAAGATTATATAAAGCTTTTAATTAATAAGTTAAAGCTATATATACTTTGCAAGCTCTTTATTTAAGGTATTTTTAAGGAGCGTCTTTAATTATTATATTAATAAGAATAAGTTTATTAGTTTATTTCTTTTATTAAGTAATAATTAAGTTAATAATATTTATAATTATGTAAGCCTTATTATAATTTATAAAGTTTTTAAAAATTAATTTTTATTTTAATTTTCCTTATAATTTTATAGCTTTTATTTTAATCTTTTTTTTATTTTAAAATTTTTATATAAATAAAATTAATATATTATTTATTTATATATTTATTATTTTAAAGAGTTATATAGGCTTTATAATTATTAAGTAAGGATTATATATAAAGTAATTTATTTTAAGCTTTTATTAATAATGTTTTTAATATATATTAAATTAATAAATATTAAATTTTATTATATTATATAACGGTTAAATAATATAAATAATTATGCTTAAAGGGTATTTATTTTTTAATTTCTTTAATAGCTTTATAAGGATTATTTTATATAATTTTAACTTTATTTAAAGGTAAGCTTAAATAATATCTTAAAGTATAAAAATTATATTTTTTTCTTAAATTAATAAAGGGGTAAGTATAAGAATTATTTATTAACTTATTCTTTAAATAATTAAGCTTTGCATTAAAATTAATTTTTTTTTATTATTATTATAACCTTAAATAATAAATTAGAAATTTTTATATAGTTTTATAATTTTGCCTTTTACCTTTTATATTATGCGGGATTTAAAGAAATAATATTTATTATATTGCTTTATTAATTATTTCTTAATTTAAAAAATACCTTTAATAATAAAGTTATTAATTTTCTTTTATTAAATTCTTTAAATAATAAGCTTAATATTATAATAACTTTATTTTATTTTAATTTAATTGCTAAATTATAGTTTTTATTTTCTTTTTTTAAGATATATAATATAATAATATAATTTTTTATTTTTAATAATAATAATTATATAATAAGTTGTATTTAAGGTTTTATAATTAAATCTTTTGCTTATAAGAATTATATTTCCTTATTATTATTTTAATAATATAATTAAATAATTATTAATTTAAATATTATGGTTTTATTTAGCATATTTAAGATTATATTATGGCTATTTATAATAATAACCTTATATAAACCCTTTTATTTTTTTCTTTCTTTTTATATGCAAACTTTATATTATAGTAAGTATTTTATATTAAAGATAGGTTTAACCTTAATATTTAATGCATTTTATACTTATTATTTAGCTATAGTTTTTTATAATATTTTTATAGCCTTTAAAATAACTTTTACTTACTTTT